CAGTTTTCTTTTAAATTAAATTGTATAGAATTATATGTAGTTTTAAACTGAAAATGTTTGTAAAATTTATTTGTAAAAGAAAGGTTAATACATAATTATCTTAAATTAATTTTTTTATAATACATCCAAATTTAAAATTATTTTTTATATTATGTGGTACTTTCTTAAAAATTTAAAAATTAACGATTTTTTCCACTATTTCATAATATGTGCACTAGAAATTATGTGTGACAATGTGTTGTACGGTACATATCGATGTCATGTAATATTTAACAACTTCATTTGTTGATTCCAATGCTTTAAAGGATGGTTTCCACATCATAGAAAGATACACTAGAAATAGAAACTGGAAAGTTGTGTCACTTCCTGTCCAGAAGTTTCTGTTCACCAAAATCTGGTCAGAGTAGATACTTCATTGCATCTTTTATGGAATAGAAAAACATAATGGACATAATAGTTATGTGATAGTGTTTGATGTCTTGTTTTATCAAAGGATAATGATAGACTATTGAAAAAGAGCAAGAAGTCAAGGTTAGAAAAGTTTTTATAAGAGGTCAGAAAGTATTTTCTTTATAATAAAATTGATGTCTTTATATAGTTTGTCTATCTTAATTGGACATTGTGCTATGGTTGACTTAATAAATGCTTGCAATATTCTAGTATTGTGGAAATAGAACTAAACAGAAAATGAATGGGAATGGAATCTAGTAATTTCTGTTTCTGCTTTCTGTTTTCATTTTCTGGTAATGTATAAATCAGCTTTTAACCACCTATCTATTTCAAAGTGTATGCATCATTACATGTTTTACAATATTTTGTGGTTTATAATTTTACTGATTCAGTAGTTCATAATTATTAGTTATTTTTTCCATTTTATTTTGTGATTTATAAATATATTAAATCATTTGTTTATGTATGTTTTTACTCATGTTATTGCAGAATTTTTATTTATTGCATTTGTTTCAATTTTAAATATCTTTAAAATTTTTATCAGTTTTCATTATTGTTCATTATAAACTGATAAATTATTAATGTTAAATGTGCTATCAAATAAACTATTAAATAGATTGCTAAAGATTAATGCTACTGCTTGCTGTAATTAATATTTTGAACCATCATCATGCTGTTCTTCATAACTTTGATGAACCATCATCATGCTGTTAACCTATATAAACAAATAAATAAACCATGCAAAAATATTCATGTTTGTTGTTATATTATTTATGTTAAAACCTTGATTTTCTCTTGTTAATCTAAATAAAATTTTTTTTTTAACCTGGCCCTACCATTTTGTGTTCAACAGCTGTGTTAGATTGTGAGTAAATGTTTAGGTTTTAAAGAATGAATTAGAAAAAATAATTTTTATTTTTAAGTGTTTCCAAATTTGTATTGTGTCTACTTCAGAAAATTCAAAATATTATAAGTATATTTTTAACTTTTATTTTTGTTGACAATAATCAGGATGTAAACAGCTTGAATTAGAAATGACTTTCTAATTCTTATCACAAACTTCTTTAAACAAAGCTTTCAGATACAGAGTACTATTTAATAGTAGTTTCCCTTAAGAAAAATGTTACTCTACTAACATCTTGATATCTTTGAAACTTTCAATTGCTATGTAGCTGAAAATCAGGATTATAAATCTAATATCTTACTTTTCTTTTCATATGAATTTTTTGAATTATGGTAATATTGTGCTTCAAACCAACAACTACCTACAATTAACCATTAACTGGTGCGAAATTCTTTAAAATCGGCAAACGTTTTCGGTTCCCCTTCTGGGATCTTCTTCAGGCTTATTTCTTTATAGCTTTCGTTATAACCGGATTCTTTAATTCGAATATTTTTGAAAAATTAATTTTAAATTTTCGAATTAAAGAATCCGGTTATAACGAAAGCTATAAAGAAATAAGCCTGAAGAAGATCCCAGGAGGGGAATCGAAAATGTTCGCCGATTTTAAAGAATTTCGCACCGGTTAATGGTTAATTGTAGGTAGTTGTTGGTTTGAAGTATATACAATCCGGTGTTGTGAGAAAGCACTAATTAGGTAATATTGTGAAAGATGAAGATGTAATACAAAAAATTATCCAAAAATTTCTTAAACTTGGAAACAAAGTTATTGTGTCATAATCTTATTGTTGTCAAACTCTGGATTTTCTGCAGTTCTTCACTATATATTTTGAATGTCGATCTCTCTAGTTTAACAGCTGAACTTCATGACTATTTATTTAAATTGTTATGATAGTTTCTATCTAGCAATATTTTGTTTAAATATTCAGCAATCTTTCAGCAATTAAATGTTCTAAACTTTGAATTTTTTTAATAAGAATTGTTCAAGGTAGTTCAGTAAATATAATTTGAGACATGTAATTGAAAATATAATATGTAAATATACAATAATATATTTTCTTTTATAAATTAGTTTTTTCAGAAGTTTCATTTTAAAAATAATTTTATGATTTCTCTTATTACTTTTATGAACCTGGAACTTTTACATGTAGGAATAGTAATTTTTCCTGTTTCTTATTCTCATTAATCAAAATGGTGCCCACCATTATCAAATGGACAAAACCACTGTACACTGGTAGTTAGTTGCAGGGTCATGTCTCACCAACTTCCAGGAGGCATTTGTTTGGCAGATTACCCACATATTTTGTTCCTTTATCCTATCAATCCATTAACCAAGATACTGTTATTTGTTTTTATTTTTATCAACTAACAATTTATATGTTATGTCTATGTTAAAAATATTTAATTGCTGAAAAATAAAAACAATTATTTATAGTAATGCTTAAAGTATTTACAAATATCCTATAGATTATCCTAAGATTTTATGAAAAGCTTTTTTAATAATTTGATTATTAAAAAATGACAGATAAAGTAACAGCATAATCATAAGCATAACAGATTATCAAAATTATTTTAAAATAANTGCATAGTTGAACATTTGCATATAATTTAGTTATTGAAGTGTGACAAAATGAAACACAGACTGTAGGACCATCCTGTATATAGCTCATACTAATTTATTTATATATAACAAATACCTTAATGTCATTAATAAATCATCCAAAATCCAAATTATAAAATATGTGGTAGCAAGTGTATTTGTTAACATGAATATTCATTTTTTTCCACTACCTTGAAAATAATCTGTTTACTAAATACTTTTTTATTAGAGTTACACATAATCAACTTGTTTGCATCTGATTATACAGATTTGTAGATACAAGGTTAATTTAAAATACCTTTGACTTACTTTTATCAATGATATAAATAATGAAAATAATAATGAGAAAACTGAAAAATAAAATGTTTTTATTTTATCAGTTTTCTTTTCACAAGCAGAAGCTGTTTAATTATCCTTTGAAATGAATATACTGTATAATATTATCTTAAAAATACATTGTATTTAACACCATTTGATTTATATGGTTTTCAACTTGTGTGGATCATGATTTAATCTTTCAAGTCAAAGGTTTACTTTTATCATTTTATCTTTTCACAAAATTAGATTAATTTTACTAAATATCCTCTAATTGATATTATTATTGAAATGAATTTTGGACAATTTCAAATGACCAAATGATAATAATTGATATCATTACATGATATTGTAGACACATTCATCCAACCATCAGCCAAATTAATCAGGGAGAAGTTATGCTATAAATATTAATTAGAAATTATATGATTAGAACAAGTAAAGGTAGATGTTAGGGGCCATCTTTTAACAAAAGTAGTAACTATAATTTAATTTTAAATTTAGAATAGTCTGAAAGAAAACATTGGCCCAGAGCTGGAGTCAAACCTGCAACCTCTACTTACTGTACAGTGTGCCGACCAGTTACACCACCCAAACCTCCGAGCAATTCTTTCCTTTCAGACACAGTTAAACTTTAGATATAACCAAAAGATGGTGCCTAACGTGTGCTTGTACTTGTTTTAATCATGTAATTTTTAATTAATATTTGTAGCATAATTTCTGCCTGATTAATTTGACTGATAATTGGATGATTATTAATATATCAGGTTCTTGGGATATTTAGATATCATAGACATACTCAGAATTTTAAAATGTGTAAACATTTTGAATTAATTTGATTTTAAAATCACTTTTATTATTTTATACAAGTTAAGAAATAGTAAATCATTTACAATTGTTCTGTTTAAAATTATTTCCTGCTAATTGACATTATTCATAACATTTTCATTAACAAATGATTTGAAATGATATTTTTAGTAAAGAAATTACTAAATGTTGTGAAATGAAGATGAATAATATAAATTTTTACTTATTTCATTTTTCCTTAAAAATATTATTATATAAAATAAAGATTAAGTAAATATAAAGTTTAATTCTTTTTACCTCTGTCTTTACTCATCAATTTCTGTTTGTATCCTTGTCTACTAGGACCTTGTTTATTTATAGGACTTTTTACACTGGTGTAGTTTCCAATTAGCAAATAGAGGAAATCTAAGTCAAAACAATATATCTTTATTTTCACCTGTACACTCTGTTTTTGTTTCGGACCTGAAGGCCCTCTTCAGCAGGTTCACAATAATATTCTATAACAAAGTTTTAAAAAACAACTATATTGTACCCAACAATGATATTTAAAATGTATAAAATTACCTACAGGTTCTTTATTGTCTATTATTAATACACCAATACAGACATAAAGTATTCATAAAAGAGTTCTTAACATAATGTTTTTTTTAAAAATATGTTTGTATAAAAGGATAAAATCTGTTTTATGTTTAAAGTTTTTCTTAAAATTGTTTTACTCACTTATCTAGCATGGTTATTTTTTCTCTATAGGATGTACTTCCTTTTTCTATAATATTTTCCTATTTTACTTCCTCTTTAAATATCTTTTTACACGTTACTCCTTCTATAAATAATGCTATTCCATGATTAGTGAATTCTTCTTTCTAAATTATTATTAATTCTATTACCTTGTTTTTTATATAAATATGTTTGAATAATTGTCTTTTAAATCCATTTCCTTCTTCTTTAGATAGCACAAAAAGCTGCAAGCAGTGCAATAAAGTATTAGAAAGATTAGAAAAAATTGATGATGAAGCTGATGCTGCTGGAATTAAATTTCTTAAGATAGATGATGCACATCTTGCAAAAAAATTTGGAGTAAATAATTTGCCTGGATTATTATTATTTAAAAAAGGAGAAAAACAACCTAGTGTGTTCACAGGTAATAAATAAGTAAATAAATTTCTTTATAATATTTTTTGTCTTGTCATAAATTTGAATAATTAGATTTTAGAAAAATAATTTAAATATTAAATATCCAATAAGTTTTTCTCTGAATGTCAGACTTTTATGGTTGAAAGCAGTTGTTTGATGAAAAGGGATGTATGCACTGTATACTGATATAATTATTTCTAGATTATGTAATGGAATTTTTTCAGCCATCTAATGGTTTTTCTTAGCATTGAATAATAAGAAAGCATTTGATCTGATTGATCTATGCCAGACATTCTATTATTATAATCTCTAATCATGTTTAGTCTTATCTGAATTAACTCACTAATTGAGTTATCTAGTTAGTCTATTTTAAGAATTTCTGAGCCACCATAAAATAGGTATTTTTGGTAAAAATAGGTTTTTATTATAGGTTTGGCTACAGAATAAATGTAATAAATTGATTATTACATATAACGCCTACTTAACCCTTGCATTATATTGCAATCAGCAATTTTTTTGCATTATATGCAATCAGCAAGTCTCCAACATTACTTTTGGTTACCCAACATTATCAAAAATGATGTCAAGGAGGTCTCTCATAATTGCCTCAAGAAGTAGGCATGACATCATGGATGTTTGTAATCTATGCATGATGTAATTACATGGCAGTCTGCAAGTTGCTATGACCTTAAATGCTTGTTTTTAACATGTTAGATAGCCTAGGACCCTATGGCCTTCTATAATTTAAATGATTTCACAGCTTTATTCTAAGCACAAAAAATACAGAAAAATCATTTTCTAGTCCTGGGAAACATCTCAGCCCTCACAGGTCATTTATTTCTAGCTGAATTAATTTCACATCCCATGCTGTCACAAAGATTGAAAGGTTCCCTATGAGATCCTGGTTAAGGACATTGTTCTGTAAATGAAACAATATCTTGTAAAGTAAACAATGCTTGATGTTGAAATTTTTAGCATATGAGAGAAGACACATTAGAGGATTTTTCAGAATTGTCAAATTTGAAGAATGGCAATTATGTGCAATATAATTATGCATGTAAATCAGCAGAAAATTGCCATCTTTTGAATGTGATAATGTAAAAACACCTGCATATGATGACAGATTAAGAATGGCATTGGAGAGTAATTCACCAAAAGACATATGTGACAGTCAACATATTAATTGAACATACTTATAAAATCATTGTCATTTTCCTTTTATTTAATTACTATTTAGAAGCTATATCAAGATGTGTTGAGTATACACAAAAGCAAAAAAATGAGAAGCTTAGTGCAGATAAGTGTTTCAACAAAATATCAATAATAAATCCATTATTTATCCATAGAAATATAATACAGAATAATTGAAACAGGGTCATTAAAACTCATAAAAATGTTTTCTTGTCTGGCACCATAGTTTATTTTTGTTTTATTTTTGATGTTAACTATGTTATTTACATCTATTTGTTAGGAATATGCTCATTCTAGCACTACAGGCAAGAGTGTGTTTTAAGAATGTAGGTGATGTCTAGTGACAGATTGCCAACTATGATATTAACCCATATACAGCAGTTAATATGCTCAACATCTGATTATTCTATATTTAATGTATCTCTGTCATTTTGAAATATTTTTAGATTTGATATAATTTAATTTAATTATAACATAAACAACAAATTATTAAATTATCCCAATCAGTAAATAAGTGATAAATTTAGAGAAAGGTAAAATTACTGACAAAAACTCATTTGGATTTAAAATATAGAAGAAACTTGATATAAAGATCTTCATATTCTATTGTTTATAAAAGAGGATTTAGCCTTAAAGTTCTTTTACATATCATGAAGTTGTGCTTTGTTTTTTCTTTGTTCATATTGAATTTATTTTAAAATTATCATTCTGCATATTATTGTGAATTTTAACAATAACAAAAATATTTGGTTTCTAAAGAAACTTATTAATTATTTCTAAGTTTAACTTTTAACATTAGAAGTTTTTATTGGGGCATATATTTAATTTTGCCAGTTCATTATTTTATCTTTATTCTCATAGAATTTTTCCTTTATAAATTCTTTTGATCTATTAATTTTCATATTTAACAATATGATGAAGCTTGTACATTGTAATCAGAAGAACATAAGAAATTTATACAAATACAGCATTATAAATTGACTAAGCTGAATAAATAATTAAAAGTACTTTCACTACTTTTGTAATCAAAAAAGCATTAATCTATTCCTCCAAATTTTTAAGCCCACCTGGAATAGTCTTTACAGTCTATTTTAAATTTTTAAGTAAGTACATGTATTTTTGTTGACAATAAACTTTATGGCAGCTTTGTGCTGTCTTTTACTATCTTTATTGATTTCTAACAAACTAAAATTTTTAAATAAACGAACATGATTAATCACAGCCTCAAACAATAAGAAAAATATGATTTTATTGGATAATGGCATAAAGTATGGCATAGTTAGCAACTGGATTTTTGAAAGCTTTTAAATATCGTCTAACCTAGCTTTACTCTACCTCATTGTAGGCTGCAAAAAAATGCATAAAATCTGTCTAATGTTTTAATGTATGTGCATTTCCTTAAATGCAGATAAATTTACAATGATATTTGGGAGACATGAGTATTAACAAAGCGCAGGTGCAATAGTAATTATTGAAATTAATTATTGTTGCTATAAAGTATAGGAACTGTTCTACTTTCAGCACCGGGGTGAAATCATTGTTACACTATCTGGAACCTGTGACCAGTGCTCGACACATTTGTCAAGCTATATACAATATATATGCGTCAAGCACCAGTCACAGGTTCCAGATAGTGTAATGTATTGTTGCTATGTCAGCATTCAAGAAAATAAATAAATAAAACAAAAAATAAGGGTGCACTGAGGAGTGAAAGTCTTTATTTAGTAAGTAATTAATTAATTCATTTGAAGAGTGTCAAAGGAAAAGCAGTCTTTTTGTGTAAGTCTGTAGATTACATTGTTTCATTTCAACTTACACAATGCCAAATGTTCCTCAGTGTTATGTGCAAATAGGTTAAGTTTAACTCTACACTGACTAGTAGAGGGTAGGAGTTGTCATCAGTGTCGGACCAAAGTATGACCAAATGTATGGCTGCACAATGGGCACAAAATTTACACTATTTATACATTGATTAGCAAGCTCAGGGCATCCAAAACTTCTTGCACAGAGTGCAAATAAGACTATAGTTGATACTGATTGACTGGTTGTTATTGATTGCTATGTTTTGCATTTGGAAAACATACATTTGTTAAAGATATGTTTTAGAATTGTTTTTAGTTTTTTATAATTAGATATGATATGATTTCTCTATACTTAGGCATTATTAGCTGCTGATACATTATAAATTACTCTGAAGTTTATGAAAATATTGATCTAACTAAATCAAATTTCTACTATAATGAGTTATAATTAAAATGCTCATTAGTAAAATGAAAAACTAAATGTTTTTAATTTATAATCTTAAAATCATAACAGATTTTATATTAATTGTTATATTATTTATCTGAGATGTTATATTAATTGAATCTTTCTATTTAATATTGAAATAAACAGGAGATTTGAAAGAGGAAGAGAAAGTGTTAGACTGGCTAGTTTCACAAAAAGATCCCCGCAGTGAAAGAATTGAAGAATTTGAAGGAGATGCTTTGAAAGCATTAATAGAAAATTCAGAATCTGTTGCAATATATTTCTGTAAGCAGTTCTTTATTTTAAAAAGCCAATTAATCCATTTTTATTTTCAATTTAGAATAAGTATTAAAATATTCTATTTACATTTATTTGATTAATTAATAATTTTTATCTCATTAGAAAAATTTATATAAATTAACTTTTAAATCTTGAATATATGTAAATTTACAAACCACAGTAGTTACAGTATTCTTCTAAACAAAACTCCCATTAAAATCTGACAAGTGAAAACATTTTTGTCTAAGATGGGATTTGAACCCATGATTAAAGTACTAGAAATAATGCATTAATACACACTTTTGCTAATTATATGACAACATAGTTTAATTTGTAAATTTAATATAAAGGCTTTAGAGATTAAAATAATATAAATGATCAATTACTTTATTTATTTGATATAAGAATAGGCTATGAAAAATTATTTGCTCGTATATTTTGATAAATTGATATATCATTGAAAATCAATTAAAAACTTTATTATTATATATATTACATTATCATTGTTACTTCAGTCTGTTTGATACATTTATATAATATTCATAAAAAATCATACATTGAATTTTATGAATTTTTGTTTTGAAAGTTCATAAGTAAAAATTATTGAGACAGTTTATAATAAAATCATTATAAATATATTATTATTGATTCAAAGAACTTGCAGAAAAGTTTGATTATTAAAAGTATTTTTTAATTGAAATGTATAAAATTATAGGATCCACAGTTACAGGATTTTAGCTTAAATTGCTTTCATTCAGTTCAGAAACTCAGGAATTCTTACAATGTAAAATATTGTTTTTGTATATAGCAATTTAAAATAATGCAGTAAATTTCTGATTTGTACCATCCGATTTCCGGATTTGTGGTCTGTCAGAAGGAACACTTTATGACTCATTTAACTTGGATCAAATCCATTTATTATACAACTATTTACAATATATACAGCAATACTTCTTGATTGCTACCAACAACATAGTCTAAAATCTTGCTTTTCTGTCTTGTTCACTCAGTCAAGTTGCCTTTTATCCAACTTCGAGATCCAAGGCTGTCCAATTTGGAGCTGGGTCAGTAACTTTCCTTCGGGTCTGCCTCAGTTGGCATACCTGTCTCAACTTGTTCAGGATGACTCATGCTAACTGACCCTATGATTTCAGTTCAAAAATTTTCACCCAAACTGAATCAGATAGATGATTGGCATGACACTGTTGTTATTAGGAAAAGTATGATGTACAGGGCAAGACACTACTAATTTGAGGTGGAGAGCATATATTTTAAATTAAGTTAATTAAAAATATGATTAAAAATTGCAGCCCAGCATTGTGATGATGTCACAATAATTTTGTTTGTTCACTATGAATTTTATATATAACTATTTTCTTTAAAATATCATCATCAATCACCAATGGTCTGCCAGAACATAGTTTATCAATTAAATTGAAATCAAAGTTGGCATATGTAATTTATTCCTAACCACATCACAAATACTTTCAAAAAATTTGTTGCAATTACACCTTTTTTTTAAACTTAAAGTGGAATAAATCAAAAACACTTTATCAAAAGCCAGTATTTCTATCATAAAGTGGTTCATTCTGCATTGTTGAATTTTATTAGATGATGCATATTGGACAGTAAATCATGTATTAGCAATAATTATTGTATAAATTTATCAGGCATAATACCTAATTTAAACTCTAATCCTAACTTCAAAAATGAAATTACTTTCTCATCAACTTAATATATCATACAAACACATATTACTATAATATAGTAAAAGTTCACTTAGTGAGTTTAACTGCTTTATTTTATCTTAAAAAATAATAATATGAAATATAGGTTATATAGTTTTCTGAACTGATATTTGCAAGTAAATATAATAATTATAATTAAGTGAATACTTTGAAACAAAATTCCAATAACTAATAGTTACAGAAATCATGCAAATCTTCATTAAGAAGCTCTAATTTTACTTAGTTTTAATCATATTAAAGTTCATTGAATATATAATAAATGAAATTTAATATACAATTAATTACTTGTATTTTGTTCTTTAGGATAATTTGCCACAGAATTTAATAGTTAGCTGTGAGAATTTGTGTGTGTGTGTGTGTTTATATATACAAATTTTGAATTCATAAGTGTTTTTACTAATATTAATTATTTCATAGAATTATGGAATATAAATACTGAAAATGATATAACTAAACATTGCCATTATTTTATTAATTAAGAAAAATAGTGAAGAAAGATATTTTTCCATAAAAATAAGAAAAGTAGTGAAATTGATTTTTCAACAAGATTTTCAATTATAATTTGGTATCAGAATTTTCAATAGAATGATTAAAATTTATAGACTCATTTTGAAAATTCCAATTTTATAATTTAATTTTTAAAAATAAAAGATTAATGCAGTTTTTATGCAATTCTTACTAATCAATTTAAACTAAAAAAAAAATATTCTATATAAAATATAGAAGAAAATTTTTTTTAGTTTATTTTTGTGCATATTATTTTATTAATAATTAATTTACTTTTATTTTTATTTCTTAATTTAATAGCTTGATGTTAAGGTTTCAAATGATTTTTTCAAGTCAAATTAATCTTTTTATTGCTGTTAATCTTTGCAATTAATGATAGAAAAATAAAAAGTTTATTTCTATTTATTTATTTATTTATTTATAGATAAAATTACTCCTAAAATTTATGTATTTATTGATTATTTTACTTTTATTTTAAATGTTTTCTTTTATTTTTAATACTTTCAGAAACATTATTATTATTTTTTTTTGAATAAAGCTTCCTCTAATATTTAATAATAATAATATCAATAATGCATAATATAATTTAAATGATATATTCTATAACAAATTGTATAACATTTATTTTTTTAAACTTTATAAAGCTTTTCAATATTTAATTATTTTTTAACTCTTTAAAAAGAATAACAGAAATCAAACCAATTACATTTTTGCTTTCACTACATTTAAAACAATTTTTTAACAACTCACACTTTCTAAAGATTTGTTATTACATTAGTCCTTTTGTAAATAATATCAATTCCTATCACAATAAAACTGAATTTAAATATCAACAAGAAAAAGTTAATGAATATTCTTCTTCTTCTTCTTCTTCTTGCAAGATGATAAAGCGAAATGCTCACCCTGCGAAGGAAGTGTGGGTAGGTGATTCATAGATTTAGACATATTTTTAAACAAAATCTATTTGCTATAAATTGATCTTTATTCTCACCATTTTATACATTTTGTTTTATTAAAGCAATTCACTTTTTCACAGAAAACATTTTTGAGTTTATATTATACAAATATATTGAATTTTTCTATGTATTTGTTTTTGTTTTTCACAATTACCACAATTAAGATTTCTTCTTTTGTTGATATTTTGAAAATTAATTATGGCAACATGTTTTAATTAATTCAGTTTTCTTTTTGATTCAAACTTTTTTAGAGATATTATATTGATTTTTTATATATTATATCCAAAATATTTATTTATTTATTTCTGTATAAATATTAACTATGCAATTATTTTGTAGATCATTTATGCAAAATTTTATATTTTTTGTGAAAGTAATTTTTAGTGTTTTTCAAACTAATTATAATTAATGATCTGAAGATTTTTTGGAATTATAGAAAAATTTATAATTATGAAATATAGCCTAAAAATATTCATAAAAATAAATACTTGTTAATATACTTTTTGCAATAAACAAGTATTAATTTTTATTGGATATTTATTAAACAAAAAATGAAAATTGTTTTTTTAAAATTAAAATGAATGAATAAGAAAGAAATATTAATCTTTAATTAAAAGTTTGAAAAACACCACTTTTAATAAACTATTAATGATAAGTTAAATTTACAGGTATCGCTTGACTTATGCAGGGTTCATAGCAATCATGGAAAACTGGAATTTTCATGTGTTTGGAAAATAAAAAGAATTTCATGGAATTTTCATGGAAATTGCTGCCCCATGTTAATGTTACATACTTTTATTCAAAATAATTGATTAATTGATGTAAGTTTCATTCATGTGTAATGTGCAAGAATTTTCTGAGGCATCTAACTTCATTGAATCAAAAAATGAATTCAGGAACAAGCTTTATCAGAAACTGAGTGCTCAATTTCTGAATGAATTAGTTAGGTCAGAGTCCAGCACTTATTGAGTGTTCAGTGAATAAAGAATAATTTCTGTCTTATGGAGGTTTAACTTTACATTAACTTACATACCATGTAATTTTGATGTATGCTGTTATAGACATGTCACTAATAGGCAAATTTAATTGAAATTAAATATATATTAACATTATAGATTTCTGTTCTTCAGTTTGTATATTTCTGGTTCCAGTCTAGGTTTAATTTCTTTTGATTGTCTGAGAGATAGTGTGTTATTGTCTGTCCTACAGATGGTCAACAGTCTCACCATTGACTCTTCTATTAAGTCCTGAGCCAGACTGTCAAGCTGTTTATAGTCCTGTCAACTTTTACTAATTGTGTTCAATGTACAAGACTGAAACTAGCTTTGATCTTAGTGTAAATATAAATTGGTCATAATTGATAAATATTTGATCAGACTGTGAGCTTGATAGTGTGGATTGGGTCTAAAGTTACTTAAAGCATATTTCTAAGTTAACATTGATATTTGATTAATATAATATGGGTTTGGCATTACATAATATTTGATGACAAAAGTAGTGTTAGACTAGATGTTGCTTGTCGGAGAGATTAGTAAAAACAAGTTAGACTCATGTAACTGGTTATATAACAAAGAAACAAAGAATACACAAAGATTACACTGTCTTGACTCACGGAAGGTCAACACTGTAAAGGGAGAGAGTGAAATGAGGTCACCGTCTCTAATGGCTCCCTGAGGGGTCAACAGCACCACCAACCTTTTATTATATAACGGAAGAACGTTTACAAAACATCGTGATTCAATGTGTTGTACATAACGATGCCATATAACATTAGACAATAATTTCGATCATTGATTCCAACACATCCCCTCAACAATTGATTGTTAATACAATCCAATATCACGAGTAAATTTTTTAACGTTATTTGGGTTTAGTGGTTTTGTTAACAAGTTGCCTGTCATCCGTTCACTCGGACAATAGATTACAGTAATTTCTCTCAAATTCTTTAAATGACATACAAAATGGTATTTTGTGTCAATATGTTTTGTGTGCTGTTGTGCTAATTCTAAAAGTTGAATACAACTTGATTGTCCTTATTAAATATTTTGATAGATGTTGTAATCAGTAGATTTATTTTTTCTAGAAGTTGTTTTATCCATACAATTTCTTGAGTAGCTTCTGCCAAGGCTATGTACTCTGCTTCCATGGATGAAAGTGCTACACACTGTTGCTTTTTACTAACCAAATGGATAGGACTTTCTTTTAGCAAGAGCAAATATCCTGTGTTCGATTTGTGGTCTATACGATCGTTTTCCCAGTCAGTGTCTACATAACATTTAAGTTCTAATTCTTCATCAATACTTCCTAACTTGATTTTAAAGATTTTTTTCATTTTGGTCTCAAATTCAGTTAACGTATGTTTGTCTGTGGCCATTGCTATTACATCATCTACATGAATTGCTAAATACAAGCATCTTTTATGGCCTCTGGTATAAAGACTGGGATCAGCTACACTTCTTTTAAATCCTTTAGATAGCAATGTTTCATTGAATTTTTTATTCCATTCATTCACTCCTTGTTTCAAGCCATATATATTTTTCAATAATTTGCAAACCATGTCTGGCAATCCTTCGTATCCTTCAGGTTGTTTCATGTATACCTCATGTGATATGTCTCTGTTTAAGTAAGCCGTTTCGATGTCACAATGCTTAACTTTCATGTTCTTAATTCCGGCTGTAGTTAGGAGTGTTTGAAGGATGGCAGTTTTGATCACGGGGGCATACACATCATCATAGTTAAAGCCATACTTTTGTGTGTACTCTTGAGCGACTAAACGAGCCTTAAAACGATTAACTTTATTGTTTTCATTGTTTTCATCTCTTTTAATTTTGTATACATGTCTGCTTCCTACTGCAGTTTTACCTAGAGGTAATTTCGTAATTTTCCATGTGCTGTTATTTTTTATGGCTGCTATTTCCTTATCCATGGCTTTGTTCCATTCTTTGAAATGTTTGCCTGTGATTGCCTTGCTATATTCTCTCGGTTCTACTGCATCCTCTGTCATCAATAAATTTATTGTTTCAATTAACCTTCTAAGACAGGGGTAGCCAACAGTTTTTGCCCCCGGGCCGAATTGGAAAGAGAACTTTTTTCATGGGCCGAACCAGAGGTTGCCCTAGGAAGATTTTGTGGTGGTGCGAGATCTCATTGTAGTGTCACCCTGTAGAAACTAAATTATACATAGAGATTACAGATACATTTTTCACATTATCATGCTTTATCAACGTTCTACACTGTACTTAAGAGATTTGTAATGGAGGGTTAACTCTAACCAGACAGCGAGTTGTTGATTTTTTTTCTTTTTAGGCATCAGAATTTTTCACTGAGCTATTCTGACTGAGTAGCTAATATTGAAAGATTCATTGTGAGCCACATAGATCCATTACACGGGCCACACTGTGGGCCGTATCTTGGCCATGCCTGTTCCAGGAGGTACTCTCTTAGTAGTTCTTTTCAATCTCCTTAAATGTATGCCAGTTTCTTCCATTTCTTGTTCCCTTGTTTTTGTTTCATATTCTTTCATATCATTAACTACTGTAAGTGCTTTGAGATTTATTGAGCTCATACAAACATGTGTTTGCTGTTGCTACTGTTACTCCATTTTTCTGGATAGAGCAATGTTCCCTTTAAATTTTATAGCAAACCCTAATATCATTAGTCTTCTGACTGAGATTAAATTTCCTTTAAGGTGTGGCACATATAGCACATCTTTCATATATATTCAATGTTGTTCATTATTTTCATCCATGCATGTTATCATTACATTGTGTTTACCTTCAATGTATAGAGCTTGACAATTGGTTAATATTACTCTTTCTGTATATTTACTATTAATGGTTGTGAATAAATACTTCTTGCAACACATATGCGACGAAGCTCCTGAGTCTACGTACCATTGATGAATCTCGTTTTGTGTTCCTGTCTTAAAACATACATAGGATTCCTTTTCCAGATGTTGTTCATAACTTTCTGCATAAATTTTGTTGATCTGATTTGGATGTTTTTCTTTCCATGTTGCATATTTCCTACATTCTTTCTTTACATGTCCCTGTTTTTTGCAAAAATAACAACTTTTGGGTGTACTCCCACTTTTAAATGCTTTATTCGCTTCATATTCTTCATTTGATGAGGTCTTTCTTCTTGAGTGTTCCTCAAGTAATTGATTACGTATTAACTCCTGAGTTAAATCTTCTGGACGAGTCTCTAATGCTGTTATTAAAGTGCTATAGCTGTCTGGCAAGCTACTAAGTAATAATGCTATCTTTAATTTCTCAGCTAGAGTTTCTCCCAGTGCTGTAAGACAATCAACCAATTCCTCCGTGTTGGCCAAGTGTATCTCCATGTCACTGTTTTCTTCTAGTTTTAAATTGCAAATTTTCTTCAATAGGTAAACTTTATTTGATAGTGTAGACTTAACATGGTGTTTCCTTATGGCTTCCCAAGTTCCTTTAGCTGTAGTACAGCGCACAAAACATATCGACACAATGTGTTGTACGTAACGATGTCGTATAACATTAGAAAATAATTTTGATTGTTGATTCCAACAAGTAGATCAGCACCTCATGTTAATTGGCATGAAGATAATAACCTACTTTTGCTGTCATCTGTGCAAAGAATTTTGTATTATTGCTATGTTATGAACTTAATAATTTTGCTGTAAATACAGAACAAGCTTTAAATCTAACAATATTAGGGCAGTGGAAATTTTTTATGATAACATGAAAAGTTCATGAAATTTTATGGAAATTTACATTGACAAAGTACTATAAACCCTGTTATGATCAACATGGTTAAACAAACCTGTCATAAGTTGAATTTTATGCAGAAAGTTAAAAACATACAAATATGAAAAATTATAAATACTTATCTAAGTATTATTTCGTTCAAAGTTTCAAATATAAGTAAACAAAATGACTGAAACCAATTTCCAGCACAAATTTATCAGAAAGCAAATGTTTTCAGCATCTTTAGGCTAACTGCCCATTCAACATGGTTGAAAACATTTGCTTTCTGATAATTTTGTGCTGGAAATTAGTTTTAGTCATTTTATTTATTAATTATACCTAGTTGTGAACAGTTGATTATAAATATAACTATGCACAATAACTTAAAATAACTGAAAGGTAAAGATTATCATCTGTAAAACATCTTCATCACTTATAAAAGGTATTGATTTGTTTTGAAATTTATCAGCAAGGAAAGTGGAACATAAGAATATTGGCCAATTTTGTCTTCAGTTTATCTTCTGGTGTCCTCTTGGAGGATGATTAAACCACAATATTTCTAAATATGTAGTTCAAGGTTGTAAGTCTGAGTGGTAAAATTTGACATACTTATAAGTCAAGGGATATCATTATACTTAAAAAATTCTGTTAGACTTTTGTATGCCAAGTTAATCATTAAATACTTAATAAATTTATTGTTTGAGTGTTTAATTACTAGTGTTTTTATGTTAATTGATAAAAAAATACTTTATGAATCATTCCAAGCAAACTAATTTAAATAAATTAAATTTAAAGTAGTTTGTATAGATTTGACTTTATTAAATCATTATTATTTATTATAAAATAATATAATATTGTAAAAGCTCCCTACCTTGATATTAACCCAGCAGTGATGCAAGTTCATAAAAACAAATGTTTTCAGTCTATTTCTAAGACCTGCTTCAGGTCGTAAATTTCAAATAGATGGAATGTCCAACTCTTTGATGCCCAACTATTCTTAGAAAAATGCTTAGTTAATTGACTTTATGCCATCCTTTATTTTAAGATATTGAAATTTAAAAAGAATTTAATTTCAAGTACTTTGAATAATCTTCAAATTATTGAAAGCACTCACCATTTTTTTCCATGTGTTCATATATTATTTTAATATATTAAGAAATGAATAGTCATAATTATTTTTATCACTTAAGGTTTGTCATTTTGGAAAGTAGTTAACATGTATTTGTAGCAGTTTCATTAACTAAAAATATTTTTAATGCTTTTGAGAGTAAAGATATAATTGTAGCTTAAACATTTTATAGATGCTGCAGATTGTTCTGATTGTAATCAAGTGCTTGAAGAATTGGAAAATATTGATGACGACACAGATAAATATGGGATACAGTTTATAAAGACAACAGATACACCAATTGCTCTAAATTACGGAGTCAAGAATTTTCCTTCCTTAGTTTATTTTGAAAAACAAGTTCCAAGTGTATATGAAGGTATTTTTATTGTATTTTTTCAAAAACTAAAATTTAAATTTGTTAAAGGTAAATAATTTTTAAAAAATTTGCTATTTTAAAGGTGATCTGTCAGCAGAAGAGGAAGTTCTTCAATGGCTAGTTCAACAAAAATCTGAGGATACAATTGAAGCTGTTAATAGAGAAATGCTAGAACATCTTATTCAAGAACAGCAATATCTTGTTGTGTTTTTCTGTAAGGTTTAATTTTTCTTTATTAAGAACAAAACATATTTTTTTAATTCTTTTATCTATCATATTCATCTGTGTGCCTACTGAATATTAATATTAGCATTATAAGCATTTCTTAAGTATATAGTGAAATATAGTTTTGATTTTATTGTTAAATTGTATTAGAATTTAATTTGCATTTAATAAAATTTTTCTACCTAGCTTGAATGTGGCAGTTTGTAATCATAATAGAAATATGCTGTTTGTTTGAGTCTATGGTTAATATTTAAAATTATTAAGGTAGAAATGTTGCTTTAATTACAATCTAGTTATAAATAAATGACTACCAAATTAACATACTTTTAATTTCCAACAAAGTAATTCATAAAGTATGATAGTGAATAATTTAATTATAAAATAATATAATCAATTTCATATTTTATTGGGTTTGTTATAGTTTCATCCTTATTAAGACTATCTTCAGACTTTACACATCAACTTAATTGTCTAATGGCTTTCCATAGAACACATTACAAAAATTTAAAGCGAATAAAATGTCACAACATTCTTACAATAGAACATTTTAAAGTGTACAATATTTAGAACTAGTAGTTCGGAATGCCCCCTAGTGGGTGTTCTTTACAAATTTCCATGAGGCACGGTTCCTTTGACTTTTTTGTTTCTATCAATATGCTCTACAGCTCTGTTAAAGTCCAATGGTAAGATTTACCCTCCAAATAAAGGGGTAGCAACCCCTAAACTGTAGCCCCCCTGTGCGAACAATAAAGTCAAAGGAACCATACCCTTACTCGCGATCCTTTGCGAGATATAAGCCCCTGAAAATTCGCCTACGTCATTTCCGGTCAAAAGGAAGCTTACCGCGCAAAAAAAAACTAATGCACACTCATGCACACTCGGGGGTTGCCCGCTCATTCGCAGGGTACATTGCGGCAAACAGGTGGCCATGTGACCTGTAGAATAATTTTCGGAGGGCTATATCTCAGGAAGGGTCGCGCATAGGGGTATGGTTCATTAGGCATTTATTGTTTGCACAGAGGGGGTCGCCACCCCTTCATTTGGAGGGTAAGTCTTACCGTCCCAATTGCATCATACGGATCTATATTTCTACCTATTAAACATTCTATAGCTACTTTAAAATAGTTTAATTTGTTTATTTACCTTTGCCTGTAAACCTCGATTTTAAATGTATTTGCCATTTTTTCAACAAATTTCCTGTGAGTCAATGCACGACGTTCACTGAGTCATGGGATGTCGTAAACATGTGGCGCAAGGTTAATCAAGGCATATAATAAGGTAAGGCAAGGCATATAATAATTATTTATACCATTCCGTGGTATAAATAATAAATTCATATCAATAATAAATTCCTATTACAAATAAAAATAATTTATTGTTAATTTAAAATTTTTGCTAGGGCGCCTCTATTGCCCATTTTTGGCATACCGTTACACGGACAGACAGATACCCATTCAATGTGTTATATATATAGATAAGAAAATTAAATAAAAATATAAAAAATAAATATGTAACAGTTTACTGAACAGATAAAATGAATAAAATTGCACTAATTAATACAGTCCATAAGTTAGAATAACAGTAAACATATAAGTAGATATAAGAATGTATATATTGTATTAATTATATTGTCATAATTTCAGTCATCCTTACTGGTTATGGAACAGCATACATTGACTTCAATGTTTATTGTTAAAGTTTATGCATTCATTAGTTTTAGAAAATAAATATATTTCCGGTTTTTCCAATTCTTTTAATTTTTCAAAGTTATGGATTAGTCTTGGATTACTTTAGCCATAAGTCAACTTGCATCTCCAGTACTGCTGTATGTGCTGCTAATGTGGTAACAGTGATGCCAACTGTTAAGAAATGATAAAGGTCAAAACCATCTACCAAAACAATTGATTTAACACTACACAGGTGTATATAGGAGCAAATCAAGATTACTCAGTACATGCATAAGGGAATATGAATGGAATATAAGGAAAGGTATCTATGCTATGGCATTAGCAGCACATGTGGTGGCCAAGATGATTCAACCTACCCATAACTTGGTAGAATTACTGTATTTCTGTGTGTATATTTTGTACTTTTTTGCCATTTTTTACTAATTGAAAATTGAGAGGCAAATTATTTTGAAGGTAGACTATATCAGTATTTATTCTTACAAGAAATCTTGATTAATTTACAGAAGTCATGATTTTATAAGATAGTTTTTATATTTTAAAAACTTTGCATACCTATTCTGAATATTTTGAACTCTCACATCACATAATATGCAGGCATTTTTGGTATTGTGTAAAGATTTTTCCTCTTCATAAATTTGCTGACCCATCCTGGACTAGCCTTAAACTCGAGGGAAGAAATATTTTGTGTCTGAGCAATATTGCAAGCATATGATTGCAACATATCACGTGTTACAGCACAGCTGTCATTGCTTGTTTCTTCAACATACTGTAACAATTCTTCCTCAAGTTGGGGATACTTTCCAATCTTGGGACCACAAAATGCCCTCACATTGGACTTTGCATTGCTTAAAGCTTCCTTTTGTTTATACCAGTAGCAAACAAGTGCCTCACTGACACCAAATTTTCATTCAGCCTCTCAATTTCCATTCTGTTCCACAAAGCTGATTACTTTAATTTTATACTGTGTGGTAAAACTGTTATTTTTTCTTGCCATCTCACAAAGTTGCAGTTAACTCTAGTAGGTTCCTTAGTGTCATAATGAGTAGCGTGTTATAAAGCATTACAATTAACAACTGCCCTTATTCCCCACCCTTATATCCTCTAGCAGGTATAAAGATTCCATACTGTTAAGCCTACACAAGGAAATGAGGGTAAACAAAGTGCCTATATACCATAAAAATGCTTGTTGACTGACTCATACTATCTCCTACACTAAATGGTTCAGTATGAAAAGTCTTGCATTCTCCACATCAGAAAATACAAAATATTTGAGTATTTCTCAAAACATTTCTAGGAAATACAAATGCAAAAAAGAATGTCATGGCAAAAAATACACATGGAAATACGGTAAAAATGTTGGAACAACAGGAAATATATTTATTTTAAAATCTAACAGAAGCATAAATTTTAACAATAAGCATGCAACTTGGTACACAATGTTCTATAACCAGTGAGAATGACTTTGAAATTACAACCTAATAGCTAGACAATATGTATATTTTTATATCTTTTTTGTTTGCTGTTATTTTAACTTATGGATTGCATTTATTAGTCCATTTTTTTCAGTTTATCTTGTAAACAGTTAAACATTTATTTTTTATATTTTTATTTAATCTGTTTATTTTTTAATATTGTTCTCTTATAAGAATGTTGTAACATTCAACTTAATTTGAATTTTTGTAATGTGTTCTGCAGAAAGCCATTGGACATTTCTTAACTTTGATGATGTAAAGCTTTAAGATGGCTTCGAAACAAGATTAAAAATGTTAGTAATTAAACAAAATTTTGCTGGAGTGTTGTGTTTTTGGATGTGTTTTATTATAAATTATATAATACAAATTGTAAACTCTTGTTATATTTTAAGATTTTCTTTCATTAAAGCTGTTTTTCTAGAAAGTTAAGGTGGGGTAATCTCTTTATAATGACCAGTTTATCTATATTTCACCTGTAAATTTTCCAAATTCTATTTGTTTATAATTTAAAGGAAATAATAAACTTTTCCATTAGGATAATGTCAGCTTTTAACTCACTGTTACATAGACTGATGCATAGAAAAATTAAATCAAAAGTTATTCAAGTTGTTTTGAAGAATTAGTGTTGTTCATTGAAAATAAAATTGACAAAAATCTTGAAATTAATTACTTTTATAATCAATGAATGGTGATCAACTGTAAATATTAAATACAATAGTGTTATAATATGATTGCAAATCTATAATGTATAATTAACTATTAAGATCAATCACATATTTTAAATCTAGAAATTTCAAAATTTCAGTTAATTCTTATTGTAATTATTGCTATATTGAACTTATAAACAGCAGATCAATGTAAGATGTAAAATTCCAAAAATCTTCGAAATTCAACAAGAAAATTTTGTTATGTTTAATGTTTATATGGCATTCTAATTTTTCAAAAAAATGTAATCTGAACATGGTTTTGAAAAAAATAAGCATTTGTTATGTACCATTTTTAGCTGGATTAAAGATTTTTATAACTTGTAACTTTAAGTTGGTTGGATAACTATAGCAGCTTAGCTTTGGCTTGTCACTCTGGAGCGAGTTCTGGGATTGAGTCTGGACTACAATTACCTGGCTTTTACACAATTGCTAGCATTCTTGGGTACTACAATTGAGAATGAATCAGTTGTCTTCTCAGGATTCTTTTTTGTATGTTGGCAACTGCTTCCATGGATTTTCAGATTGCTTGCACAACTATATATAAAAGAAGAAAATAATATTCTAAAAATCTAATTAACAATTAGATTTTAATAGTTAATTATATGAAATTGTTTTAATGAAATTTCAATGTATCTTAAAATTAAAAAAAAATTTTATGCTCCATTTTTAATTATCAAATTCTTTTTATTTATTTACAGATAAGCCAAATTGTAAGGCTTGTGATCAAGCATTACATGAACTTGAAAATATTGATGATGACACAGATGTATATGGAATTTACATTGTAAAAATTCAAGATAACCAGTTTGCAAGACGTTATGGAATCAAAACTTTCCCTGCTCTTATATACTTCAGAAATGGAAATCCTCTAATTTTTGATGGTAAAAAAAATATTTTTTTTTATGACAAACTTTTCATATTTACCGCATATTAAATTTTATATTAAGTATGTAAGAGCTGTTCACAAGCCAAATCGATCAACTTCCTTAATTATGAGAAAAATTAAAAATAGTATATCCTTAGAATAATTGTTATTATTTTACTTGTTATTAAATAAAAGCTATACCTATAATAATGTATTTTATAATGTTTATTTTGATTTAAATTTTAAAAGGAGTTGTAGAAAGGAATATGTAATATTTTATCTATTTCTCTGCTTTTACTTCTGAAGAGTTAATCAATTTGGCAAATGAGTGGTTTATATAATAAATTATTCTGATAGTATATATAACTTTTTAAATGTTTTTTTATGCATTTGAAATTCTATTAGATAATTTTACACAATGATCATAAAATTCTTGCATTCCTTAAAACTACAATAACATATGTTTATCCAAGATAGAAACAATCTATACTATATGCAGTGCCATAACTAGCTTTTTATATGCCCAGTGCAAGCTTCTGTAACTAAGCCCCAAAACTATGACCCAAAACTTGGTCCAGGTCATTTCTGAGACCCCAGGATTTGCGCACTGTGCCTGGGCACTGCTGGCACTGCCCTAGTTACGGCACTGACTATATGTCAGAAAGAAAGTTTATTCTAGCTTTATTTTATTTTCAATAATTCATGAATCACAAAATAATAAAAGCCATCCAATTATTTCTTATTGACTTTTTTTTCTACAGAAGCATAATAAATAAAAAAAAGTGTTTATTTTTTAAAATCTCACTCTTTAAATGATCTTTATTTCAGATTCACAAATGCAATTACTGTTCAAACTGAAATATAACAAACCTGTACTTATGAAATTGTAGAATTACAATGTTTTGTATCAATGATGATAAAGATTGCATTGAGTCTTAATGATATTATGATTAATGCTGAGATTAATAACCTAAAAACAAGAAAAAATTACTCTTTTAATGCATTGTACAAGTCAGATTGTTTTAATTTTGAATAGAATCTACATTACTGTACTTTTAAAGTACATAATATATATATATAAACAAAAAATTTCCAACTGGATGAATTTCACACAATGAGTAAGTAATACAACATTTTGTAATTCAACCTTATTTAGGAAAATAATTTTTGCTTGATATTAAAAAGTTGTATTGTCAAAATTGAAGGAAACATTTATTATTTTAAACAAAAATAGTCAGAAAGTAGTAATGTTTTTATAAGAAATGATGATACAATTTATTCTGTAAGAAAAAGTAAAATTACTTTCAAAAAGAATAATAAGTTTAGATATGGATTGTCATTGAACTACATTATATTGAGGTGATTATGCTTTTGAATTATCCTTATATTTTCAAAGATTTGTAATTTTAGTAGATGAGTTTAACTAAAATAAATTTCTTACTATCTGATAACAATATGAAATTATTATTTTTTTAACTGAATTGATGAGTTTTGCAATGATTATGATATTTAGTTTAATGAACCAATAAATTTCACAAAAATAAAATGAAGAGGAGAGATTATAAGAGAGATAAAATAGATCTTCCAAATAAAAATATGCAATAATCAAAGAAAAAAATAACTACAAGAAAAAAGATAGTTGAGATTTAAGAAGAGAATAATTGTCTAAAAAGAGTTTGCTCTATCTTTGATTATTATAAAAATCAGGACATCTTTAAAATAATATAGCCTCTGCATACAGCTTATAAAAATCATCATGTCATGCTTAGACTTTAGTAAGCAGATACTTTAGAGTAATGACTATTAGAATAATTTTTACTACTAAGAAAATATGAAAGAATAAAACAATTTTAGGAGAGGAAAATGTCTCTTGGTCAGGATCCTGACCAAAATTTTTGGCATACTGAAAGTTATAATAAGAATAATAGGCCTATCTCTAGCACTAAGCAATAGGCAGAAACGTTATTTGGTGTGAATAAAAAAGTATGGACTATTATACTTTTGATACAATCTGGCCATGTTAAATGCTTTGAATGATGTCATGCACGCACACTTGTTTGCTTTGGCAAACCTCCACACGAGCAAGCATCTCACTGACTTAAAACGGCTAACCGCTAGCTGCCAATGTAAAAGCAAACACAAATGATAAAAGAGTTTACATGTTAGAATAAATTATTATTGGCATATTTCTCATATAAAAAGTATATTGACAGTCAAAACTTTCTCTTAAGCATGTGGTGCATGCTAAGTAAGCTCAGAGAATTCGTCCCTGCTCTTGGTTTCTCTTGATGGGCGCCTTTGTTATAAACTAACAAAAAATCTCCAAAATTTAAAGATTTTGCAATGATATATTTTTTTTCTTATCTTTAGTAATAAGAAAATGTTGTAATGTCTAATGTTTTCAAGATAATATTTATCAGAAATAAACAGAATACTTTTGCTTTGGTAACATAATAATAATGCATTATCCTGGAAATCTAAATAAATTTTATTTTAATTGTTTAATATATGTATTGTTACGTTGAATAAAACATTTTGAGGTAATTACATAAAACATGTTGCTTAAATTGTATAATTAAATTAATTTCTCATATATTGATCATTTTATAAAATATCTCAATGTATGAGAAAAAGTATTTAATAGTTTATTTAATTATATAATCAAAATAAAAGTTTTGTCAAAATATTTCATATTAAATATTAATAACTGCCAATAAACTTGATGTTATGTTTTCATTTTAAATGCCTTATTTATTTATTTTTTTTTCTTTTTTTTTTGCAATAAAGTTTAATCAAGATTAATCTGTTTGATTACTACATATGAATTTGTAACTTTCATTTTTATATAATTTTTATAAATGTTCCAATAAACAATAAAATTATAAACATATATTTTATAATTTCAGGTGATCTTAAAAATGAAGAGAGTGTTTTAGAATGGCTTATTGATGATGATAACAGAGAACTTTCAGATGAAATTGAAACTATTAATAATCGAATGTTGGGAAAATTAGTTGATGATTCTCCTTTCCTGGCAGTTTTTTTCTGTAAGTATCAAATATCAAATTAATTTAAAAATAATAAACAAATAATGTACACTTTTAATAATTTTATAAGTAAATTAATTACATTGGTCATTTTAAGTGTTTTTGAGGATTCCAGCACAATTTCTTTACAAACATTATATAGGTGCTAGAACAAATGTATAGAACAAAAATATTAGTAATAAACAGTAAGATAAAATCCCTGGTCATGGTTGGGTATACCAATGCATTAATGCAACCCTGATAGTTGCATAATTAATCTTTTTATTATAAAAGTTAGATTGTTTATTACATTTTAAATAGTTTTGAGTTTGTCTCTATTTTAACTTTAGTGTCATCCATGATATATATAAAATATTTTAATTTCACACATACAGTCGATCCCCCTATAAGATCATTGATTTTTCCGTTTTATCTGAATTACATGTTGTACGAGTCACTTAGATTTTACAAATACGTGTGCCGGGCTGTGAACGGCTCACATATTTGTAAAATCTAAGTGACTCGTACAACATGTAATTCAGATAAAACGGAAAAATCAATGATCTTATAGGGGGATCGACTGTATTTACTAATTACTAAAAATAATAAAATCAATTCTGATAACTATTTAAATATACATTAAACTGCACCTGGTAATCTGGAATGTCCAAAAAGTGGCTGATTATTCAGAATTGTCTGACGATGAGCTAGCATACTAGTATTCCTGGAATCCAAATTTTTTGGACACATGTTGTGCTAAAGACTCACTGTGAAAGAAAATGTAGAGCTACAAGCAATTACAAGTCAGACATGTTTGAAAGGATCTATAAATGAACTTCTTTAGGACATTGTCTTGTGGTGGCAGATGTCAATAACTCAATTCTGACAAATGTTGTTTTACCAATGCCATCTCAAGAATAGTTAGAGGATTTCAATCTCCTATGTAGTGTAATTCAATAAACTACACTTAGTATACATTGTATTGTGTGAACAAATATTTCCTTGTTAGAACTAGCACATGTGTTTTTGTGTTGTTTGCATATGATAAATTTTCTTTTCTATTAGCCAATGTGAGTACAGTGCCTCTAAAATCATGTTTCTCATATTTGATGTGTATGTAGCTTTGTACAGTACATGTCTGGAAAATAAATATTGCAGTTGATGCTTGTTAATCAATATGAATACTGATTTTGTGTAATAATATATTCATAAATGGTTTTGCAGGTTTTCTAAAATCAAATTTAACACAATATAGTCATGCACAGTGTCATTTTCATAGTGATTAAAGAATGTGCATAAACATTGGAAGAATACAGCAGTGTTTGCTGATACAAAATATATAGCACTGTTTGCAATATCAATATATATGTCAGATTGTGTATAACTTATTGAATTTTGTGATTTTGTGTAATCTGGTATCACTCTGGTCCCATAGGTTCCAGATTAACAAACTTTTACTGTGTTTACTCCATTTTAAAAGTTTCCTGTACAAGTAGATATTTTCTCTCATCCACAAGTGTCCAAAATCAGCTTGTGATACTTGTATTTTAAATTGTAGGTCAGATTGAAAATCAATTATTTTCATTTCTAAAATACTGACATTTTTATTCAACATACTTGCCATCTTTTGTATATTTCAGAAATATTAATATCAACAAATGGATATAAAATGAATGAAATGATGAATGAATTTTATGAAAAAATCAGAAAATCTAATTTCAAAATTATTTTTAAGTCCAGTGTAATTTTCAGATTATTTATCTGATTCAATTTCCTTATATTTATGAATATAGTTCTCTAAATTTGGAAAATGGCTGAAGTTACATTCTTTAATTTGGAATATCCACAAATTTAATTTCCACTGAAATGCATTTACACTTCCTATTAATTCAAAAAGAGTTCTTTGTTTCCCCTGAAGTTTAAGATTGAGTTTATTCATTTTGGTTGTTATATCAGTAAGAAAGGATAAATCTGACAACCAATCATGATCGTTAAGTCCTTCATAAGTTTCGTTTTTGAAATGTACAAACAGTTTTATATCTGGAAGAAGCTCTACAAATCATTGTAGGACTTTCCCTTACTAAGCCATCTTACTTCAGAATGTAACATTAAAGTTCCATAGTCAGCAACAAGGTCATCAGTCAGTATTTTGAATAATCTGCTCTGAAGTGTTCTGACTCAAATAGAATTTATAATTTTTAGAACTTTCACGACATGTTCATAATGCAGCACTTTTGTACATAATGCCTGTTGACGAATGATGCAGTGATAATGAAAAAATTTGGAAACTCAGCATCATTCTTACATAATATGTCAAAGTCAACACCAGAACCAATCATGGCAAATGCTCCATTGGTTGTTATGGACATAAGTTTTTAGGGAGGCAGATTAATTTCTTTAATGTAGTTTTTAATAACTTGGTATATGTCCTTTCCACATGTATTTCTTTGTAGTGGCAAAACTGGGAGTATATCTTCTTTTACTGAGCGATTGTTAAAGACCATCCTGATAAAAAATATTTATTTGAGCAATATTGCAGACATCTGGTTGATTCATCACATTGTAAACTTAACAAAATGCATTTTTCTAATTATTTTTTTCTTTGCAATTTGATATTTTCAGACATTGCTTCTATTCTATGAGTGACTGAATTTATTGATAATTGAACATATAGCTGATATAATTTCCTTCTTATTTTAAAATTTTTAAAAATAAGGTATTTATGTATAATTTTTAAAACTATTTTATTTTTAATAAACATGATGAATTTGAATACGCAAGCCGTGAACCACATTAAAATGGTACGCAAGCAACATGTTGCTCGCGTACCATTTTAATGAGCTATGGGTTGGGCACCGCGGCCATAATGTACTGCTTTGCACACTATATGTTGTTTTTGTTTCTTGATTAAACTTAATAATTGAATAATCAAGGAACAAAATAATTTTTTTTAATAAAAAATTTAATATTTTTGAAGAAACAATACATTAAGATAATTTAAACACACTTTTTTATAATAATGAAAATATTATATAATAATTGAACATTTTTTATTTTAGATGAGGATAATTGTTATGAATGTGATAAAGCTTTACAAGAATTAGAAAATATTGATGATGAAGCTGATTTATTTGGTATTGATTTTGTAAAGATCAAAGATCAAGAAGCTGCTAATCAGTGGCATGTGACTCGCTTTCCAACTCTAGCTTATTTTCGGAAAAAGACACCCATTTTTTATGAAGGTAAGTAAAATAATAATTTTAAATTTTTAGTATTTTAATTATGATATATTTGTTGTGAATAAATGTAAAATTATATATTACTTAAGTTATTCTAAGTTCTTTAATTTTAACATATAGCAAATCTTTAATATTTAAAAATGTACAGAAAATCAAGCAACTTTTCCTTTGGTATCTTGAATCCTTTGAATAATCCATAGAAGATTTTTTAAAAGGCTTTCATTCTTTCAAGATATTCAATCACACATTTAATAAATTTATTATATAGTTTATAAATGAAATAAATTCAAAATACCAGTTATAACAACTGGTCTCCAAGGAGTCTAAAGCTATTTTTATTCAATTTAATTAATACTTTTGAGAAGTACAGTATCTCACTTTATCTTTAGAATCTAAAATAATTTATAGATAGGTATACTATAGTGCAGTATATAGTACTGTATAATATTTTGAAAATGCCTATTCATACTGTGCCACTTACTATTACTAAATTCTTCTAAACTGATCATTGCAGATTTTTACTTTTCCTGCTCTGTTATATATAACAGAGGGAAAGTATGGCAATCAGTCAAAAAATGATTCTCCAAGATTTTTACATTTTTGGACTCTGACCTTGAAATGTTGAGAAATGTCCTTACGTATGGTAGAGAAACCTATGGCAGTTAGTTAGTGTGTGTGTGTGTGTGTGGAGTACAATTTTGTTCATCCTCTTTGAAGCTTAACTCCTGTGTTTTTTTTCAAAAATTGCTGAAATTTTACAGAGGTTTGTGTATTAGTGGGATTGATGCTATTAAATTTTGGTTCTTAAAGGTTGACAGAATGGGGAGATACAGTGGGTTGTGTGTCATATCTGGTATAGGGTTGAACTTAATGATGATGGTTTTACATGACATTAATATTTATATAATAAAACTCACCCCTACCTTCAAAATTAAGCTTTTTGCCATTTTATAATAATTAAAAATATTATATAAAAACTTTTTATAATGGCGCATTATGCAGTTTTAAATGTTGCTGGGAAAGTTAAACCATTCGTTGCTGTATTTTTTTTCAATGCTTACTGGTTAGACAAATTTAGCAATAATAATTAACATAATCTCACAGTAAGAAAGTCAATTTGTAAGGTCTTATTTATTATAAAAGGATTGATTTTGATTCTGAAGATAAATTTGGATTTCTTGAAGAAAGTCAATTATTATAGGATTTAATTCTAAGAGAAATCAAAAATAAGGATATTATTATACTGTATGCTATTTCAATTAATTTAATAAATTTATTCTGTTTAAATATAAATTCTTAAATTTAAATTTCATTTTTTTTTTGTTTTTTTAATTTTCTTAAAAAATTTTCTTAAATTTTAGAATTTTAAATTTAAATTTAAATTTTAGTTTTCCAATAATAATTTAATATTATTTAAATATAAATAATATCTATATATATTTATGAATATTTGCTATAATGCTAAAATTGCATTTTAATATGAGTAATTTAGTTTTATTCTTGAATTTCTTGTTCCAAATAATAATATTGTGATCATGTATATGTCTATGATAATATTAGAAATTAAAATGGCCTTTGGAAGAGATAGCACATTAATTATATATACCAACTATACATCTAGCATTTCTGTAAAAATATATATATATATAGAAATTTATAGTTCTTAGATTTCGTTTTCTAATATTCTTTTTTAAACTCAGCCTTTTGATTAAATGTTTCTAGCACAATTATTGTATTTGTGTATGATCTCAGATTGCACAGAGTACATTATTGAGATATAGAACTCAAAGTTTTGGGTATAGATATGACTTTAAGTTTTTGTATAAATAAAATAACAAATTCACATGATTCCAACACTGTCATATGTATTTTTGCATTTTGAATCAAATGCAAATTAAATTTGTTACAGAATTTTTCACTTCAGTTTGCTCTTTCAAAACATTATTCTCCTTTTAAAATTCCTCTGTTTTTTTCCTGTTACAAAATATTTATTTCATTTATCGTCGTTCTTTTAATCTTTTACTAATGATCACTAAATTTTGCAAAATATAGAACTAGAATGAGGATAATCTGAATCTGCACGTATAATAAATCGGATATGTAACATCTTTTATGCAAACACAAATTGGGGACACAAACAATATCACAGGCGTTCTCTATTCTATTTTGATATACAAAACCTGAAAGTTTCGGATAAATGAATTTTAACCTAAAAAATTTTTACAAATATTTACAGTTAAATAGTTTTGTGTACTTTTATATTCCAGTCATTGAGAAGAGACGAGATGGAAAGCTACTGTATGTAGCTTTTCCTACCGATCCGATTTTAATTCTTGTCCCAACACATTCTTCTCAACTTTATACCAATATTTCCTTTATTTTTACTTTCCCGCCTGTTATATATAACAGAGGAAAAATATGGCGATCCGGCAAAAAATGACCCCTCCCAGATTTTTACATTTTTGACTTAGGAGAACTTGAACGTCGAGAAATGAAAAAAATTCGGGAGTATTTTCTTTATATGTGGATGTTAGTGTGTTGGGGGCACGATTTGTTCACCCTGTTTGAAGCTCCTGTGCTTTTTTGTCGAAAACTTCTGAAATTTTGCAGGAAGGTTTGTTTATTAGGGAGATTAACGCTATTAAATTTTGGTGATTAAAGATCGAAGAGGAGGGGAGATAAAGGGAGTCGTGTGTATCTCCAGTAGAGTCGGACTTAATGACGATTTTATTCGCTATTAGCATTTACAATTTTTTAAATAAAACTCATCTCTACCCTCAAAATTAAGTGTTTTGCTGTTTTATAATAGTTAAAAATATAAAATGTTTTTTAATAAAATATGATAACAGATGGCGTCACCACAGTTTTAAATGCTGCCGGGAAATTTGAGAAACTCGTTGTTGATTTATTTTCATTGTTTTGTTTATAAAACAATTCCAAGCATCAGTTTACAGAGAAGTACTGTATATTGTATTTGAAGCACCCGGAGAAATATAATCATATATGTTTTCTCCGTTCATAGTCATGTACAGTACTGTATGTCTTTTAAGTTCTGGACCCATCAGTGGCAAAGTAGTTAAAAACTCTGGATTGCGGGTTCGCGCCTCGCCAATGGCTGCCCACGTGGATTTTTCCGGGTTTTCTTTACGTTTGTAACGCCTAAATAGGGACCATTAAAAAGACCTTTTCCCATGCTTCCATGGGTTCGGCCAGACCCACAATGGAGACGGCCGGGATTGCCCATGAAAAGTTCCTGAGGGTTTTCGATCGCTCAGATTCAATTTCGGGTTCCTCAGAGCGATAGCTGACGCCTTAAGACAGATTCACGCAGAACTGACCTGTCCGATTCGTCGTCCTACAGCAACGAAACGTCGACAGTGGACAGGACGGACGAGACTGTGACTTTAGCTAGTTGAACTCTTTGACGGAACGACGGCCGTCTTGAAGTCAAAAATTAATTCATTGAAGATGTATGTAAAAATGTCACAACCAATGAGACATATCTTTTTATATTTATTTAGTATTAGAACCATCTAGTAACTATATCTTGCGCGGTAAAAAAGGAAAAACAGAATATTAACAAAATAGAAAGCAGATTTTAACGGAATGTTAGTAGGGGAGGTAAGACATTATATATTATAGCGTATCTCAATGGTCAAGATTTATATAAGCCTTTGAGGACTAAATTGCTTGGTGTGCATAAGGACGTCGTTCTCCGTCTATCCTTTTAGATATGGCCGGATGGTTTCGACTGACGTGATAGCTCAAATGGTTCTATGAATCCGCCTTTAACTGCCTCGGCCATCAGGCCTTCTCTGCCGAATTGCTGCGGCATCTTCGTTTTGGCTTGCCTTTCTAAGGAACTGGAATCGAATCTAACCGCGATTGCCTCAATTTTCACCAGTACTGATAGTCTCCGGGACAACACAACCATAAAAAAATCACACTCCATGTCTAACACGAAGAAATCATCCACATCATGGGCGTCCACAGGAAATTTTTCGGGGGGCATAACTTGGAGAGAAATAATTGCATCAATAAATATTTCTTTCATTATTTAATTTTTGGTTTTTTTTTCACAAGTAGATTATAAAATACAATATTACATTAAAGTGTTCTGTGGTCGAGGATGTAAGGTTACATACCTCAATCACTTGTAGGATTAGAATTTGTGGAATTTTTTAATTCCATCCCAAGGAAGAGCAAGTGCCCTGTTTATCTCCCTCTGCGGACCCCTATGGTCCACACCTACATACTTATGTACCAATCACTTTTTTAAAACTTCTTACTTTTCATACTCTTTCAAAAATAATTTGAATTTCAATTTGCATTAGAAATCGACCAGAAATTACGTACAGTAACATACTTAATCACACCTCTCTTCTGACAAGTTCCACGAGTGTGGAAGGTTAACAAAAAACAAATTGTGTTAAAAGAGGGGTGTGATCTTTGTTTAACTAATGCGCAATTTTTGACTGATTTCTAATATGAAATGTTATTTTTGAGAGTACATGAAAAGTGAGGAGCTTGAAAATAGGTAATACGAAATCAGCAGTTCATATCATCTTTCAGATTGCATGTATTCTCAGTTGATCATTAACTATATTAAAGTTTCTTCTTTACTTGGATATGTAAAATTGTCTATCAATGTCTTTCTGACGACAGTACAACTTTAAAAAATTACAATTATTAACAAATAATAATAAATGTACTTAAAATTCATAAACTATGTATCTCTGCTGATTATTATATTTGTGAATTTTAAGTAAATTTACTGTTCTGGTTTTATTTATTAATGATTTAATATGTGCTATCTAACTTGTTTTCATACTTTAAGAAGATACAAATTTTATATCAATAATAATAATAATAATAATAATAGATAAACATTTTCAATAATCATATATTAGTGTAGTTAGAATTATATATTTTTGAGATTTTATAGATATAATAAATAATAAAATATTATTTTCGAATTAATTTCTTTAAGGAATTATAAAATTAACCAATTAATAAAATTGTTCTTTAATAAATTATTTTTAGTTTAGAATAGTTTTTACAGTGCAATAAAACAGCTAATGGAATATAATTAGTTCTACAGCAAATTACATATTTTGAAATTTAAGATATTTTTACACAAATTAATATTTCCGAACCAGTAATAACCACCCAAATGATCTTGACTGAATTTTATGAGTAATAATTAACCACAGAAGTTGCATAGAAAATTTTAGTTTCAAAGAAATGGATTAATGATAGTTCAAATGGTAATTTACTTCCAGTTTCCGCACTGTGCTCAATGCCAACGTGGTTGGTGTATTGTAACGTTGGTTTCCGATTGTCCTATATATCATTTCCTATCTCACTCTGACGATGTATGAAAAGGAATGTCAGAGTCGAAACAGCCTATAAAAAAATAGTCGAATGTGATAGTCGAATTATCTAGGCAATAAAGACGCCAGCCTACTGTTCTGTGGGATTCGGGTTCGAACTTTTTCAACTCGGGTGGGTCGACCAACTGTCATGGCCTCATCCTTCACTACACGGCCGCTCCTATTTGTGGGTCTGACTAAACCCTTGAGGTATGGAAAAAAAGTCCTTAGTACAGAAAGGAAAATTAAGAGTAAAAATATTAGTAAAAATTTAAATAAGAAAAAAATATGATGACTCACTGTACTGGAATTACGGCTCATCAGAAGGTAGAAGTAGACTATTATCTCTTAATAGTTTTCGTTGAAATGAGAATTATTTTATGCATAACTGGCCTTGCTTTACAATTCTGTAATTGGAATTTTTTCCCAGTCTTCAGTAGTTAGATGTTAATGATTATTAAACCTCTAAAATAATCGAGATCGTTGCGATGATCATTATTAGCTTACGCATCAAATACAGAGATGTTTTTAAATTTGCATTTCTTAAAAATAATTATTATTAACCATCCTTCTTTAATCTGTTACCGATGCCAAAAATTCAAGTAACGAGTAAATAGTTAATGACTTTGCATATAGTTCTACTCTCAGTCTGAAAGTATTTATTAATATTAATATAACAAATTATTTATCTAAAGTAGAAATAACATAAAATTATTTTCTTAGAATACCATAAACTTTAGTTTATATTTAATTTAAAAATAAATCATGTATAAAGTACTTTACTTTTAAAATTATATTGAAAATTACTTGCTTTGTTTTACTTTGTTTGTCAAAAAATGCGTAACAAATGCATTTAATAGAAATTTTTGATATACAAACAAAGTTACACGAATAAAAATAATAGAAAAAAATTAGATTTTGAATATTCTTCAAATGGAAAAATATAATTTTGATTTAATTCTGATTAGTATGTAATTTATTCCATTTACTTCCATTCGAAGGTAGTCTCTTAGAAGAAGATAAAGTTTTGAAATGGTTAACGAGTTTGGATGTTTTCGAAATCAAGGACGAAATTGAAGAAGTTAACAGGAAAATGTTAGACAAATTGTTGGAAGAAAACGAATTTGTCGCCGTGTTCTTCTGTGAGTTAAATTTATATATAAATTAATTGAGTGAAAAATCAGACTTTGTAATAAAATATTCACATTTAGATGATAATAATTGTCCAAAATGCGATCTGGCTCTTCAAGAACTCGAACGTATCGATGATGAAGCTGATGACTTGGATATTATGTTTGTAAAAATCAAAGATACCCGTTATGCTAAGAAATACGGTATGAACCAAGTCCCAGGACTTGTATACTTTCGACGAAAGTTTCCTTCCATTTACAGAGGTAAATTTTACACAATTACAGTAATAGTCATTATTTATTAATAAGCTTATATAAGAAAACATAATTGGAATTAATTTTTTCAATGTCATCGAATAAATTTAGAAATTATAAGGATAAAACTTATTAAGGAATAAAACTTGAAGGTCTGTAGATAAAGATACAATAACTGTGAAATTAAATTTATATATTTTTTAGGTGACTTGACAAACGAAGACGAAGTGTTAGAATGGTTACAGAGTAATCGCCATCGTCATCCCGAATTAAATTTATTTATGTATGCTCTGGCAGCAATTAGTGTAGCTTTTATATTATACACAATCGTTCTGATGTTTTGCTTTAAAGGGGCTAAAGAGAAAAAAGAATAAACGCTAAAGGACCACTGTAAAACTAACATATCACAAAGAAAAAAAAAGTATTCACGGTAACGTGAATTAATTATTTTAAAAAAATCTCTACGCATAAATTAAATATGATAAAATATACCGCTCCTATAACTAAATTAAAATTTGTTTTTATATAATTTAATTATTTAAAATTTAATATATTGCGAATGAATGAAAAAATGCTTTTATTGAATCCGAACCACAATGTTACTGAACATTCTCTTCTTGTTTTTGTTATATAAAAACAACTTTTTGTATTGAAGAAATCGGACAATTTATCGTGTATAAATTGAATAACTCAAGTGCATCGGACTTTCCCATCTGTCGAATGTCGAGATGTAATTTTATCCTTTAGATAAAAAAAATAATGAATTACCAAGGAAACATGAAAATCGGTATTGTTCCTAAACCATTTGTGTGATTTATAAATACTTTTTCCTTTATATTTTCCCTAAATAATTTTTAAATTTTAGAAATTTGGCGATAAATTATTGCTATGAAAAAAAAACTAATTTGTTCAAGTATTGTAAATGTTGTAGCAATATTGTACATGTATCAATCTCTGTAACAGTAGTACTTAAAGATATAAGAATTCCAATATTCCCTGTATAACGTTTTTTTGGAAGACAATTAAAATTTATGGACGACTTTTTCTCGTTGCGTCTTTATTGGAATTTAGTTTTAAAAAATGCACTTAGTGACAAAAATAGTTACGCATCCTACAGTAGATAGATTTTCCCGATTACTACTAAACTCGGCATATAGCTATGCCTCATACAGGTATGTAAATGATTACAGTTGTAATCCTGTTGTACGCTAGCTAATACCACCAGATTGCTTTAAAACTGTTATCCCAATGTCCCACAAAAAGGCTGAGGCTCGTGTTTAGAATTTTCAGTACACCTATTGTTTGGAAGTATTCCAATGCCAGGCATGACTATACAACGCAGTCAAAGACATTGCGCAGAGTTGACAAAGGCCGCATTATCGGGATGGCTGTTTCGCCGAATTACCCACTGTCTGGACCGTTCTGTCTTGACTGTGAAGAGAAGTTGAAGGCACACATACAAGGTGGACAGGCTTTGGTTTCGCCAGACAGACCACCAGGAGACGTGATCATCAGACAAGCACGAATTACTTCAACAGTGTCTGTCCCCTATCCAGAGATAGATGGAAGCTAACGACAGAACCTTTTTCCCTTTCCGTACCATTGGAAAGCAGACAGTAGAGGCAAATTTGCATGCAAGGCAATTGCTACGCGTCTTTTATTAGCATCTTCGGTTTTGTTTACAATAGTGCCATGGCAAAGAAGCGTGGACTGCTAAGGACTGGCACCATATGGTCTTTAGCACCGAATCCCGATTATGTTTACGAACGGACGAGTTAGAACAGAACGATTAAAGTGTGAAGGATCACTGGTAAAGCGCTTCAATACCACTTTTACTGTTGAGTAGCACATTGTTTTCACTGCTGGCGTGACAGTCTGGCGGATATTCGTGTGATATTCAGTTATCCATAGTAGTGATATAGAGATGATAGCACAGTGGTACGTTATTCCTGCAACCCGATGTTGCCTTTCGTAGCAAGGCTGTAAACTGCCATTTTCCAGCAAAATAATGATTTGTTACACAGAGCTAGAGTTTCTTAGGAACGTCGTCCGTCACGTTCTCATTAGGCCGGTCTCCAGATCTGTCGCCCATCGGCCTTTTTTGGGACTAGCTTCATCTATCAGTTTGAGGCATCTTAAGTCGTAGTTCTTAGCATCTTAAGGCAAAGTTGTCGCAGGATACGGTGTCTATACGCCTTTATGCCCGACCATAATGCTTATATCAAGTATTAAAGGTTTGTTCAAATTGTGCTATTGTTGCAAAGGAAATTGATCATTTTCTCTGATATTACAATCACTTATTGCCATCGTCATCGTATCGCATTTAGAAAAGTTTAATTCGATTCCTCTTGGTGCGTAACTTTTCTCAAATGAGTGTATATACATTTATACAATACACGTATTAAAATCGAAGAATAACTTCATATTTACCTCTTAAATAATTTTTTTGTGTCACAATGCCAGGCTGCAATTTTTAAATCATGTTTTAAATTTATTTCATTTAAAATACTGTATATGCCCTTCGCCTCAAATTAGTAGTGTCTTGCCCCTGTACATCATACTTTTCTGTTAGCAATTGAGTCGTGCCGGTCATATATCTAACACCTTTAGGGAAAAATTTTTGAATTGAAATAACGCGACTTCCGGTTTTATATACCGGAAATTCGTATATAGTTAATTAGGGCCTTCTGTCCCTAAGTCTTCTATACCTGGTCTCGTCTTTTATCTATCTAACTCCATTCTCGAGATTAAGGAAAGACGGATGACAGTGGGAATTTATAGGTATACAATTTTTTCAAATTGCAGTCCAGTGAATCATAAATAATAACTTTAATTTCATCATTATTATATTCTATGCAGGCAAATGTTTTACATCTTTTGGACGCCCAAAAAAGTATTTATTTTACATAATTGAAGTAAATACCGTATTTTGACGAGTATAAGTCGCACTTTTTTTACTACTTTTTGGGGCTCAAAATCATGGTGCGTCTTATACTCGACAGGTAACCATTTTTATAGTGAAATTACCTACAGTAGTGGTCCACTCTAGGGACCAACCTGTGCAGTGGTCCGTTAAGCAGATGGTCCCTCAACCGAATGACTATAGTATCTAGATTATCAGAGTAGCGACACACGAGTCATCGCCGCCATGTTCTGTCGACTGTCATCACGTGACCTCTGAGTTCACATTAAGAAATGACGATAGTGAAGATCTTATTGCCGTTCCTTCCCAACTCCGTCTCGCTGGGTCGTTTTCTTGTGTTTCACGACTCGATGTAATGAATCAGGTTCGTTGGAAAGCACACCTCCACACTCAAATTGAATATATTTACAGTTTATTTACAGTAGTAGAAAGTACAAGTTAGAAAACATAGTATATGTACAAGATGACCATGCGTGGTGAATTCACGTGCCAGGTTGGCGCCTGGGAACTAATAACCTTTGGAGAGACCTCAGTCAGCTTGTGGAGTCGGCTCAACTGCACGGTCGGTCCGGTCTCAGCACTAACCCGTCTCTGAGAAGATCAACAGAGGAGAGCACTCTCTCTTTACGCTCAGCGGGCTTCCCAAGTGCCTGAGACAACCGTGTATCAGTCTCTTGCCCTTCTCTCTTTGTCTCTCGTTCGGCTCGCAATTTAAGGGATTTTGGAACGGGGACTTCCGACCAATCACAACCCTTTTTTATGCCTGAACAGCTTACACTCGGGTCCGCCGTCATCCGACGAGAATGAAGCTTACACAAACGTCCGTCACTTGTTTACGTTCGTTTGTTTACCATATGGCAACTGTACTACCGTCTGATTGCAGGTGGGTCCAATTAACAAAGCCGGCGCTTTCTTTGTTTCCCCTTGTTTACAAGTCAATACCTTACAAGTGGTATTACCCGACCGCACGTGGGTCCAATTGACAAGGTCGCGTCTCTTTTGTCCCCACTCTGCTAAAAGGTCACTACTTTACAACGATTATTTCAGTTTAATAAAGGTATCGATTCATCCATCCGTCATATTCTTGAATAAAAAAACAAATAAAATGCATCTTTAGACAATCCTATTAAAACAGTTTTTTTCTAAATTTTTTGTTTCAAAATAGGGGTGCGTCTTATACTTGACAGCGACTTATACTCGTCAAAATACGGTAATAGAATTTTGTCTCGTGATTGGTATATGAATAAGGGCTAATCTTCCATATATTATTTAAGACAAAAATGAAACACTCGTGTAATAACTGTTTTTTGTAGGACAGAAAATGGAAAAATAAATAAAGACTTAAACATTATTTCAAAGATAAACAATTTAAGACATATAAGTTATTTGGAATTAAATGGAATTACTAAGGTAAAGAAAGAACCATTAAATTAATTAAAATGGAGAATCAAGAATATAGAAGTTTATCGGAAAGTTGGCATCATGAGGATTAATTAATGAAGAATTGAGGGGGGAAATGGACCAGGAAGGAAAGTTTATTTTAACAAAGTCCTGAGATGCAGCTTACTGGAAAAAAGGAACAGAACGAAAAATATGATTATTGCATGCAATTACAAAGAAAATATTCAATATAAACATGCATATACAGTACTAAAGGCATTATTAACTGTGCTATAGCACAATTTAAAATATCTTTATTACTATAAGATGTGATAAGCGTAGCCACGTGAAACGTAAAATTGAAATATTTCTCTCAATTTGAATAATTTGAGTATTTTAATGGAAAAATATTCATTTTACGAGTTATACGCTGTTTTACGCCTATATAATTCCTGTTGATATTAATATTTTGTAAATTGAATTAAAATTCGCGACATTTCTTTCTGTAGACCCTAAAAGAGGGCCTTTTTAATTAGATTCGGACAGGCCCAAATGGAGAGCGGATGGGTGGTGAGGGACGGGTCCGACATATTATTAATTTAAATATTTCTTTAAGTAAACACAAGTCAAATTTCTCTTTAAGAAAAATATATATTCGTTGCTATTAAAATATTTTTCATTGAATTCTGTAATCGATATGCATAGGCTATATAAAATCTAAAATATTATATTTTTAGATTTTCTTCAGAAATAATTTNAGTTTCTGTATAGAAATTTCCGGATCCGGGATATACTTCATAATCGTATTTCCTATCTCATAATTATATAAACTATAGCGTAACAGATGTGGTCAGTTCTACTCCGTACAAAGTTCGCAGATTGCCCATTTATATGGATTATATTATATTAAAATATTTTTCATTGAATTCTGTAATCGATATGCATAGGCTATATAAAATCTAAAATATTATATTTTTAGATTTTCTTCAGAAATAATTTAATTGCTAAAATACAAATAGTTACGTTTTCTCGACTAGAAGTCAATTGTAATTTCATGTTTTCAGATCCTATAATGGAGGAATCAGAAGAATCATTTGGTGTGGGCATCACATTTATAATAGCCTAAAAAATATTTGTTACAAATTATGTATTTCATTGCATTTCTTGTGTATTGAAATAAACATTTATTTATAAGTATGTAGGAGTATGTATGTAAGTATGTAAATATTATACTTTATCCAAAATCTAGAGATCAAGAGACCACCCATGAAAAAGGTGGTCTCTTGAAATCTAGATTTTGGATAAAGTATAATCTTTACACGCATTATCTTCTATAAGAAAAATACAGTTCCGTCATCTGATTGTGTTATTGAATTCTAGAAATAATGTCATCATTTTTATATCGTAGTCAATACAATATCACCTAATCCATTTTTTAGCGTGTAACTGGAAGATGTCGAAATTATGATTGGTACAAAATTTATTTATCTTGAATATTTNAAGAATCGTTTACTTGAAAATCTTGATATGAATTACTAATAAGTTTAGAAAAACGCGAATAAAATTATTATTATTATTATTAAGAAGAAATAGAGCCTAAAATTTGCGAATTCTTAAATGATTCTTCCTTATAAATTTGCCATTATTCTCAGCTCTGACTATTCGAGTTAAAATGAGAATTATTCTTAAGGCCAGAATAAAATGAGATAGAAACAAATGCAGGACTCTATCCTTCTTCGAAAGCGATAATAATATGAATAAAATTAATAAAACAAACAAAAACAGATATTTTTCATCACTTATTAAAATAAACTCTCATTTATATCACTTTCATATCAGATTTTTTTAAACGAAAGACTGATTTTTGGGACCTTTTTTGTAGCTAGAATCAGACCAAAGGATCTTTCTGATTTTTATACTGAGGAAGTTTTACTTATTAATCTCACAGATTTTACAGTCTTATTATATAATAATCTTAAGAAGTTAAATTGTAAAATCACATCCCGAAACGTAATTATTACATTGATTATTCACATCGATGATTTTTACATAATTTCTCGGCCGAATTACTTCATTATAAAATAAAGTTAAATTAAATATTCTAAAGAATAAAATAAATTTTAATTCTCGAATTATTTTTTCATCTAATCGAAATTATTTCTGATTTTTTTTATAATAGATTAGAAAAAATTCATTTTTAAAATAGCATTTTAAATTAAATTATTTTCTTATATAAAAATCATAAAATTAATTTTAATATATATTATTTAAAAATTCAATTTGTTAAATAGCTTATAATCTACACATTTTTTATTAATTAATATAATTTCAATGTAAATATTGATATATTTTGTCATGATTTTGTTTTATTTTTTAAAATACATAGAACATAAGATGAGAAACATGAAACACGAGGGAAAAATCAATGTTTTTAAACTGTCTGCTATGTAAATTCTCAGAAAGCCTTCTATTATGTCATCATCGGTTCTATAAGGACAAAATAGGAGGCAGGGGCATATACAGGAGAGGATGCTTATGATGCTGCAGCACCTCTTGACCAAAGAAATCAGTTTTGTTGTTACTTTAAAATAAAAATAAATATAATAACGAATATTGAATTAGGTAACTAAAGTAATTGTAAGCGAACTGAGTAACATTCTCCGAAAAATGACGGGACATGGTGTCTCCGAATCTATCTTGAGCAACACCCATATTCTCAAAATCCTGGATACGCCATTGATAGGAGGCCTGACCGAATACGTGAAGGGCATGCTTTCAGGCGAGTAACGACTCTTCTTACCTTCGTCGGAACTCTTATTGGTTCTAACATGGTTCACCTCTCATTAGGAATTCCTTCTTGAGGGTTCGCCCTTTCATTCGGGCGAACAACGGCACCCAAACTTTATTTAGTTTACATATAATTGGAATTTACAGACCAAACTATCTATGAAAATTTCTGAGGATTCAAACCAGACTCGAATTCTGGTTTTTCAGAGTGGTAGACTGACGCTTTTAACTATGAACCAACTGAAAACGTTTTTGAAAACATTTTCTGGATAAATTCTATTAAATAAATTATATGAAAATTCATCAATACATATTATACTATCATTTAAAATATAAATATATATAATACTATAAAAGTGAAATTTTATATTAAGCACAATTCTTTTCCTGTTGAATATCAAAATGTCAAAATGACGTCACACAATAGAGTTATTCGTCACGCAATTTCAAAAGCCGATGGTCAATGACGTCATAGAAAATCTGTCAAGCGGATCAGCCTTGTCCATTGGTGATAATCTGGTTGACGTCAGCAATGCATTACTGCGCACCTATTGTTATTGTATTTTATCGCTCCGCATCTCGTCTTATATCAGAGACAAAGCATATTATAAGCTTAAAGGGCGTTTACATAGATTCTTGGAAATCGATAATTTCTTCTCGTTAAAGAAAAATTAGCGAAACGTCGATCATAATTTATAAATTTTATTGTTTAAATCAACGTTAGATGGCGCGCGGTAAGAGACGGTGCTCGTTTCGTCACAGGTACCATCAGTGGCGAAATAAGCTCCATTTACTAGAACACCAGTAGAATAGAAAAAAATAAATGGAAAGGATTTAAAGCCTATGACAAGATCAGTTAATGCGGATGGGGAAATTCGTATGATATTTTCCCTTTCCGTTAAACTTATCGAAAACGTTGTTTAAATGGACTGAAAACGTGTGAAAATTCGTCTCAATGAAACTCTCAGTAAAAGATTGAACTTAGATCGTCTTTGGCGGCAGGAAATGATCAGAAGAATAAGGAAATGAAAGCATCCTTTTATTAATCCGTCCGGATAGTTAGTCTACAACTGTTATTTGTTCGACCTGCTCAAAAATTGTAATCTCTCCTCGCTTAAAAATAGATTGCGTTATTACAGACAATAATGGTTAGAATAAATCGCTTCTGTTTATCTTTCGATTGCATCGTTGATCTTAAATTATCCAACTGATTCTTTGTAGGAGTCCATCCTTTGACAAAGAACCGTTTGACTTATCATCTGCTCGTTATGCAAATCGAATCTCTAACAGTTACAATTAAAGCTAATTATGGGTTTTAACAAGTTATAATTATCTTTGCTAAGTACAATAGTTTCATATATTTGTTATGCTTTAGTAAATGGCAATTTTAAGTTGCGCCGGGTCTTAGGCAAGCGTGCACGAACGAGATCTATTTTATATACATTTATATAATTTAATGCCCTTATATCACCATGTTTTTTTTATCTAGGATTCTATTCTAACTAGACACTTGCTTAGGGCTTGGATCTGACAGGGCCCTAAAATGATTTCTAAACTCACATATAATTAAATAAAATTTTAAATATATTAAATTATTATAGTAATATTTGCAGCTTCTTAAAGAAGGTTCAATAGTAATTGTAGCAATTAAAATTATGAATTTTGGGGAGGCGAGTTTTTCTTAGGGCCCGAAATCTTATTAATTCAGCACTGATGCTATTGGTTTCCGAGTAGTGGATAGAATAGCATTAAAGTTGACTATGCCTAAAACCACACTGATCCAATACTGTAATTTATATCTTAATTTAAGTTTTAAACATATTTTTAGACCTGAAAGATATTTGAATATTTAAATAAATACTGGATATGCAATAATCTTGTCAAAATCCTATTATAATTATCCCATCGCTGATTCTAATAGCACTTTTAAGGAATCGATTGCTTTTTTACTACTTTATATCTTGACTTTTTAAATCTGTAAAGAATCAGTTTAATTCTCTTTATCATAAAACGAAAAACACATTTTCCTTTATATAAAAACATGTTCGGCTTGAGATAAAGAGCGCCGATCAGGGAGAAAATGATATAAAATTAAAATTTCTTTTGATAATTGGCAAAAAATGCATTTTTATTTACACATCTGCATGGCTTTGGAAGAGAGGTGAGGCCTCATATTTGTAACGTTTCGAGTCTCTTGTTCTGAACATGTTTCTTCAAATATATTTAGCAAATTTCAGAAATAATCGTAGATTTAACTGGCATAAGTATTTACGAAATATGTAGCCTATTTGTAAAGAAAATTGTTTCTTGGAAATAAAAAATTGCTACGTGTAATGCCTCATCGCTATTTACATAGAGAATAGTTTAATATCCCTTAAACAGTAATTTTCATCATTTCATGGTTAAAGCCTTAAAATAAAATAAAGAAAAAAAAGCATAAAATCATCATTAAATTTTAAAAAAAATACTTTACATTCGAAATTTAATAAAACCCTGCGTAATTTTATTTTTAACAAATAATTATTTTGGCTAAAAATTTAAAATTGTATTAAAAATACAATTCGATTCATAAAAACGAAAATTTCTATAGCAAATAGAACAATTTTTATTGCAATAAATATAAATATCATTAATATAAAAAAAGGTTTATTAAGTTAAAAAATTGAATTTGATTTTATAATAATTTTTCAAATTAAAATTATGGTATATAATTAATTTATATCTTATTTTTAAATAAACACTTTACATATGTAGAACTGTTGCTATGCTTCTGATGATTTTATGTAGCCTAAACAAACTGATTTTTGCAATTAGATTATTAATATCAATCTTTGATCATCGCTATCGAGAATATAGAGTGAAGTTTTCTCAATATAAAATTCGTGTGGATGAGAATAAATAGATAATATATAAATAATAGATGAGTGCTCTTTACTCTTAAGCCAAACCGAGTAAATTTACGAGAAAAATATTAATAAGATGTATTATTATTTCATCTCCGTGAGAGATCCCTTTTAATATTAATGAAATACAAATAAAATCGATTTTAAAACCCTTCTCTAACATTGATTTCGATCTAGACTTAAAAAATAATATAAAAATAGGTCTAAAAGTGAAATTGTATAGTCAAAAATTAGATTTATTTGCTTAAAAACTATACAATTCATTTTAAGTTTGATTAAAATTGTAGTAGATGTTAATGCGGTAACGTTATAAAATTAACAAATATGCAAAATATTTTATAAGGATGCAAATTCTTTAGCACAGGTGATTCACCTATTTCCTGTCCGCATACCGCATTGGGTAAATTCCCGCCTTTCTACTTTGAACGAAGGACCAATGAGAAAAGTTTGCTCATGGAGAAGGTCAGAGCGAAGTGGTCAACCAATCAACACGGCCGTGGCTAATGACGGATAGGAAATGACGGGTAGAATCGCGACTGGCATCAGATGAGATGAGAGGTGGCCCACCATGAGGTGCTGGGCGCAGCTGCTCTGTATTCTCCTTTGCGCGCTCCCTTACTTTGCCCTGGATGTATTACCCATATGCTACCGAGACTGCGCAGCTAACGGGGTAAGTTACTACTTCATTACTCCTTTACATTCCGATAATCATCTATGCTAAATATATTATTAACCTATTAAGATGTTGCACCTTTTATCTGTCAAAAATTCCAATTTCGAACGATTCCACGTGCAGAAAATTATATTTATCGATTTTAATTTTCGGGGTTCTACGCTCGAAAATGTGAAAATGTAATTAAAATTGTAATTCATTTATTGAGTTGACTCGAATTATTTAAATTCCGAATTAAATTGATGAATTTGATGCATAAATGGAAGAGCGAAAAGGGGTTTAATTTCCATAAACGATGATCGAAACATCATTAAACTGAGAAAAATCATTAAATTTAAATTCAAAAATTTGGTTGAAATAAGTTAACAAAATTAAAATTTGTACGTATTTTTGTATAATTTATATTTAGGGCTGATTTTTTAAAATACAGGTTTATATAATTCAACAAATAAAATCGCGAATTTTAAAGTATATTTTTCATATTGCGCGCTCTTATTTCTTGAATTAAGACTCTGAATTGGTATAACAGAAGAAAAAACGGTTTTATTTTTTAGCAATAGGTAAATTTAGGAGTCGAAACTAATTTTTCGGAACTGTTATGGTTCAGCTTGACTTCGTGTCATACTCGGTTGGATGGGAACCTTCGTGTGAATACGTAGGTATATAGCGGGAAGCAGGTTTCCGTTAAAATTCAGAAATAGTAGCTTTGTTCCTCTCTATAAACTATCCACGTTATGAAATTATGTTTCTTTACTATAAAAATGCTTATAGTTATAAAGGCTATAATGTCGGCAGTGGTGCATTAGCCTAAATATTTCGACCAAAAGGATGTGGTGGGTTGTGTCAGGAAACCAAATACACGCGAGAGTAACCATCCGTAACCTCCGCGTAATAACCTAATGCAATACTTATCCTAAACACCTAGCATCTTTGTCCGTCACCGAATGTTTTAATATATGCAAAGCGTAATTTATAACATTGCATGGACTCGAACCGAATCAACTTCCTCAACTAATCAATCTTGTGGGGTAAACACCGGAATCCACACCTCTCTTCAATTGATCACCCAATGGACAGATGGTAGATTCAAACAGGAAAGGGAACGGGGGTTCTCCTTCCGTGTCGTGACCTTACCGAAACGCAGGAAATCGCTTTACCTGTCTCGGTCGTAAAAAAAAAAGATACCATAATTTCCATACGTCATGGTTTAATTTCATTTCGAAATTTAAGGTTCATTTAAGGTTTCATTCGTCATCTACTTATCGAAAATTTATGCGGACTCTACGAATTTTTGACCTTTAAAGTGTAAAATCTGTTAAGGTTAAAGTTTGTATAGATATGATCATTTAGTTATGTGAAATCTTTACTATTCTGAATGTTTTTATACATTTATGTTCACTACATTTACATTGCCAGGTAATAGAAATAGTTTCTGTATAGAAATTTCCGGATCCGGGATATACTTCATAATCGTATTTCCTATCTCATAATTATATAAACTATAGCGTAACAGATGTGGTCAGTTCTACTCCGTACAAAGTTCGCAGATTGCCCATTTATATGGATTATATTATATTAAAATATTTTCACTTTCTATGGATATAAAAGTGAACTCATCCACAGGATTCACGCATCTGTAACCGAATGTAACTGAATAGAAAAAAAAAGCTTTGAACCAAACGTCCAGTTCGATGTTTAGCGAAAAGTCTGAAAGCGTTTCGGTCGGAAGTGGGCCATTGTTAATGTCACCAGGCAGAGGATGCTGTCAACTGTGACCTGTCCATTCATCAGACGGGTCACTCTTTACTGGATTTGCGCTTCCTGTGCAGAGGATGTCCAGATTGTTCTTCATTTCCTTCAATCCAAAGAGATGGCACATCCTTATTAACAGCAACAAAAACCCAAACCTGACAGGTACCAAAAATCTCTTCTTTAGCCCACTTCTCTATCCACTAAACGTACAAATGATGATTTTGCAAAGTTGTTCAATTAAGTATCATTGATTTGGATGCTCGTAAATGGAATTTCCTGACCATAATGATGGCGTAATATCTATATTAATCTATGTTAATTAAGGTCGAGCTGATACAAAAATTCTTTCTAAAATTTACAGAGCCCCACTTTCAAAATTTCGGAGAATTTGGAATTAGTTTAAATGAAAAATTTACGATTGAAATTATATCTATAACATTTTTATAATCTTATTTAAATAATATTATGCATATATTTACAGTTTATAAATTAAATAACGTATTTTATTCTCCAAAAATATTATAAAATTACGTATTTTAAAATTTAAAAAATACTGTAAAATAGCTTAGGAAGTGTTTTAAGTTCAATAATATTTATGTAAAGAAAGGTGGCCCAAAAGTCAATTAACCGTGTATTGTTTTCGTCCTCTAGATCCTCTTATGAATATGACTCGTAAACAGAATTTAGAACAATTCGTCTTTTTCATAAAATCGATTGAAACATGATAAAATCTATTATTTTTTAGAGTTAATTAATTGAATTTAGTCTTTCCTACAGTTAAACAACTTTTGGGTCACCTTATATATTCATAATAATGTAAGAAAACTGATCGTTTATCTTATTTTTGCAGGAATTCACAAATATTTACTTAATTTGAAGGGTACTTACTTCTTTTTCTAGCAGCAAGCTTAATTAATTCTGAAAAAAAAAGTATATTATCATCATCACAACAGAAAATATGACAAATTCCATATATAAAAATTTAAATCACATAATCTTACAATATTAAAATTAATTTATTCTTGCTTTAAATATACATAAAATAATATATTTCAAGTTCTCTGCATTGCAAATATGTAAAAATTATAGTTTTTATGTGTTTATCTACTTAAAGAATGCTATCATAAGCCTTCTAACCTCATTAATAATGCTCTGGATCTCGTTATAATTTAAAATAAATCGATCCCAAGAAAAAAAATGGAAATAATTAAAATGCGATGCAATCAAGTCTAGTAATCGACATGGGGATCTAAATATGAACCAAACAAGATGTTTCGATAGTAAACAGAATTTTGACAAGCAGCATAAACTTTGTTTACTATTCGTTCTACAAGTTACAAATATTTACTAAAGATTTTTATATTATTGACGAAAGTTTAATCATATGTGGCTAGTTAGACTCTGACCTTTAACTTATTGAAGCATAGATTTTAACTTAAGGTCATCTAACCGAATCGACATCTCGTCTCATCACTCTTTTAGCACCAAAACTTCTAAGAATTCACAGATTATATATGATGAAAGAATTACAACTAGGTTTATTTTTCTTTTATTTTACAAATCGAACTCTTTGGGGGAGAAATAGTAGTCGTGTACGGTTAAAACTCCGTAAGTGTAACGTAATTGAAGAAGTTACTCAACTTGTCTTAGCTTACGGCACGAGTCCATTGAAAAATTCGATCCAGAAACCGGATTATATCTCGTTTAGCATAAAAATTCTAGGATAACCTGTCTCGTGAGGTCAAGATATACATCCGCTTTACTACAAAATTATAGTTTTTCAATTGGGGGAATATAAATATTTTATCAGAAGTTTTGACTTATTTTAAAACTTTAATTATTCCTGTCGATTATTTAATCGTTTTTCGTTATTTAATACGTTTTAATATGATTTTTTCGTGAAAAATTATCATTAAGGTATGCTCCGTTGAACACGTGACGCGATATAAGCGACAGAAATTATCCGAAAATGGAGTGGAATGTAAATAATTTTAATGTGAAAAGTCACACTTGTATAGTTTAAAGCTTATTTTTCTCGCTTTTTCTAAATTAAATGAATAACCAGGAGAAAAAACTAACATAAAATCCATCGTTATACCTGTCAAATTTATTGATTACAGAATATAATTTTGTAAACAAACTGGAAAAACACGAATACTAAAAAAATAAATAAATAAAATCGTCGAACCGCAATCAAATTCCTTACGAAACATTTCGTACTTTTCGAGGAAACACGCGAAATAAGAAACTGAATACGGTTATAAATATTAATGTTTCGGTTTTTATGCAGTAAATCAAGAAATTTCTGCAAGAATAAATTCGTTTCTAGTAAAAAAAATATATATAACGTTTTTCCTTTCACAAATCATCAAATTTTGTCTAAATAATATGTGATAAATGTGGCTTATTCTTAAAGTAATGGCCAAATATTTGTCGATGGTAAATAGGATTTTCCTTTCGATTGAAATTATGTCAACATTATTCTAAAAGAAAGACAAATTTATGCACATTTTATCTAAAGTACATAACAATACTCTACAAATAATCATAATCGTGAACACCCAAAGAACAGATAGAGAAGACACGTGTCGAGGACCCACAATCTCGTAGGGCCGCAATGGAGATTATGGGAAAAGGAGGTAGTACATGATCTTAAATGGATTTAATAGAGACAGTGGGATGGGAAAGACGTCTTATAAAACCGTCATCTCAAGGAGTCTTTGTTGGAACATAATATAGGCTTCAGCATGGGAAAGGCATATGTCGGGAGCCCATGATCTCAGGAAGTCTGTGATGGGACATATTGGATATTATGGAATTTCATTTTTCATTTTGAACAAGTAGTTTGAATGATTGAAAGTTAAATAAATTTAAAAAAAGAGCAATCTAGAATTTGGTCAAAGTACAAAAAAAACATTTTCGGATAATTTGAATAATCAAACAAATATTAAATTAAATAAATAAATAAACTATATAAATCATCAAATTGTACTTGAAAAATATATATATTACGTTTAAATATATTATTTTATATTTAAAAATAATAAAGCAAATAAGTGCAATGAGCTTCAATGGTGCTTATTGCGCCGTTACTTTACTCTGTCTGCAAGGAAATTGTACGATAAGCATCAATACAAATTTCCTTGTAGAACGTTGATAATTATCTTGATAAATAATAGATAAGAAATTATTATTGTGCATTTTATTCTCAGATATTTTAGTGTTTCTGATTGTTATTCTTTATG